AATATTCGTGATCTAGGACTTATTACCGACTCCAAACTTAAGTTCACCCAACACATAAACAAATCGGTTGCTGTTTCACTTCTCCGATCCAAACAACTTTTGAAACCTTTCAAATCCACCAACCCCCTCTTTCTACCTTCACTTATTCAGAACCTACGTACTCCCCTCTCTTGAGTACTGTTCAGTAATTTATTATCCTCCCCCCAATTCCAATCTCTCTCAAATACTGGAATCCCTACTCCGTTTCTTCACCCGTAAGTCTTCCAGAAATGCAATATCTCATGCTCTTCTTATCAAGATCGTCTCTCCCACCCAGACCTCTTCTGTATCAGACATCGTAGACTCCAATCTAAACTCAAGGTTCCTCTCTTTTTAATTCGACAATATATCAGTCGACGAAATTTTCAGTTTTGAAATATTATTCAATTTTTTTAAAAAGTCGGAGCTGTGGATGAGAAACGCTGGTGGCCGCGACTAAGGTTCCACAACGACAACTACCGTAACCTAAAAACATTTTTATTTTCTCAATGTTCAGGGGGTACGACGAATTCGAACGTTTTCAAAATCGAACAGACCTAAAGTCGAACTGATTCAAAACAGAACAGTGTCTTTCTCGAACAAGTATCAAAACAGAACAAGGACAGAATCGAACTGTTCTAATTCGAACTGTGCACTGTCGAACTGTCCCAAATTGGAACGCTGTTAGCTGCCGTGCGCGCTTGCTTTTCTCTTCAAATTCTCGATCGAATTCAAAATTTGCGTAGAAAACAATTAGGAAAGAAAAATAATGCAAGCGCGCTCGGCGGCTAACAGCGTTCCAATTTTGGACAGTTCGACAGTGCACAGTTCGAATTAGAACAGTTCGATTTTGTCCTTGTTCTGTTTTGATACTTGTTCGAGAAAGACACTATTCTGATTTGAATCAGTTCGACTTTAGGTCTGTTCGATTTTGAAAACGTTCGAATTCGTCGTACCCCCAAATTTTAGTCTATATTTACACTGTCAGAAGTTTATATTTTCCGACTTATTCGGAGAAAAGTAACAGAAAACTCGGCAAAAAGCAGTGAAGGCCGGAAAAATCTGAATATTTTTGGGTTACTGTATTTGTTGTTGTGGTACCTTCGGCCACGGCGTTTCTCTTCCACAGCTGCGATTTTTGAACCAGAATAATAGACCATTAGTGTCACAAAATGGACAAATCATCTCCCTTCCATGTTTTTGTAGTCCTCCTTGTCATTGCTTATTACAAGCTGATCAACGGCACTATTTATGACCCGCTCCTCTCAATACACATAAAAAGGACTAGAATTTTATTTCGAAAACATCCAATAGAACATAATCATGGCTTTCATCATGACAAAAGTGTCTCACAGAGAAAAAACAAACGAGTATCCGGGAAAAATTGCTCACGGGACTAAAATATTAAGAGAAAACACTGATTAGTATTTGGCTTTTGGTGTGGAAGGTTGTTTGTGTTCAGTAGGGTCAACTCCGATTGGTTTAAGGTTGATTGCAGGTATTGGGCGTCCATAAAGTGGAAGGAATTGACGAAGTTGGTCAACATATTCCACTTCCTTTTCTTTCTTTCCAGCTTCAGCATTCTTCTTGACTATTCCGTCAACCTTCTCTCGATCTTCACCCTTTCCGTGAACGAAAACGGCGAGCTTCCGACGTTCAGGAGCGTCTTTACGGATTTTTCTAAAAACAAACAAAATGTTTGAAAGATTCTAGAACTACGTAGTGTATATCTCTTACTTATCATAAAGAGCAAGAACATCTTCTTTCTTGATTGATTTTAGCACTTTGACTTCCTCTTCTCTGTGAGCAAAGTCATATTGACGGCATTCGATCTCATTCCAGAAACGACGGAACCGGCCGGACAATGTTTTTGGCTTCTCTTCGAGACGAGCAATCATTCCAGAAACTTGATTATCGAATTCTTCTTGAGGCATTTCATCGATCTCTTTACGAACAGTTTCCAGGAACACTTCGATTCGTTCAAGAACATGATCCACGCTTTTTGGACCCTGCACAATGACATTCAGCGAAACAGTTCCACAATTTAGTCGAGATCCGGTCCAAACGATGTAACCTGAAAAGAATTGTCTAACTATTCGTTGTTAGTTATCCACATACCAAGAGCTTCGTTCGTTCTGAGAGTGTTGAATGCTGGTTCTCGAATCAACTGATCAATAAGACCAACAAGTGCGTTGTCATATGTATTCTGCACTCCAACTTGATATGAAACTTCAACACATCCGACATCGTGCGTCTTCTGAAGGTGTCTGTAGACGTACTCATCTCCGTTGTTCAACTGCATCTCACGCCGTGGACAGTGCTCATTGCGATACAGAGGTCTAGAGTTTGGGGAAACACCCTTCAGGATGTCAACAAGCTCTTTTGACAATTCGATTGCTTCCTTTTCGGTAGAGTTTCCATGTACGAGGAGCTCTAAGTGGAAAGCTGCGAACATTTCCTTGCTAAAGTTTTGAACATCTTCCAATGTGACGTTCTCGCACACTGCCAATAGTTGTTCCTTGCTCCACACTTTATCCAATACGATCAGCTGATTGTAGTGTTGAGAAAGAGAATACGGTTGAGAGAAAGCGTGGTTGGTGAGAGCTCTCTTCAGCGATTCAAAGAGAACGTCGAATCGAGTCTTGTCGATCTTGAAGTTGGCCATGCGCTTTGTCAAATGCTTCGTGAACAGAGACTGTTTCTCATCATATCCATATACCTGGAAATCAATGAAAACTTTGTCACAAACTCGACACGAAAAATCTCGAACGGGACCAGTTAAAACGAAAAAAAAAGACAAGGTTAGGACATATGTGAGTTAAAAAGACAAAACACAAACATGCAAGGTTAGTGCAGCGTGTCGCTCCAGCTCTCTTCGGCTTACCCGCATTTGAACACCGAATGGACTAGATTCGAGCTGGCATTTCAAACCAGCCAAATCTGCGTTGTATGTCTCTTCAGCAAGAGTATCCTACAAAACTAGGAGTTAGATGAAAACTGATAATACGAAGAACTTACGCTGAGGCACCACAGCCAGAGACTGGAAAGAAGCGAAGACCGAGGATCCTGAGATACAACTGGAGAAGTCAGACCAAATTTAGTCTCTTGTTTTGGCATATTGTACTCATCGTCCTGCTTGAACCAAACCCGGCTCCAGCTATCATCAACAATTAGTCTCGGGTGCTCATTCTTAATGGTTTCGCGCGGCTTCTGGTCGAATTTAGTTGCAATATACTCGTTTTTCTCGGGCAGGTGAAGAGCATGGTGGCTAGTTTTGAGAGCATTCTCGTATTTCTGCATTGTTTCTTTATCAATGTCAGCCATTTTGAACTCCGTACCATACACTGGCTCGGTGGTGTTTCCTTCTTGTCCCTTGAACGTTTGAGATACAACTCGGACGTACATGTTTTCTGGTTTCAACGTGTCAAGAAGTTGTTTAATTCGTTCTGGATCGTACTTCGTTAGAAGATATTTTGAAGAAAGGATGTCCTCGAACGGAATATACTGAAGGCTCGATGCTACATTGATAGCCATACTCATCGGTTGCTCCTTGTCTTTGAATCGGAATTTAACTGCGCTAAGCTCAGCCAATTCTTCATGGATCCATTGTTTTGGTCCTGCAGTTTGAAGCATTCCGATGTAGTTGAACATGAGCTGAATGATCTCATCGACATGATCCAATCCATCGGTACTCAGATCCATAGTCACCATATAGACTCCGAATCCGGATGCCTGCGTGTGACTGTCAGATTGCAAAGAGCTGACCCATCCACGCCGTTTGAGTTCAGACAACAAAGATCCAGGACCTTCATGTCCAATCAAATGAGCTGAAATTTAAAAAAAAAAATAGTTTACAACTGGGTTCGTTGATTATCTCACAGATATAATGGCCTGGTTGAGAGTTATACTCGGTGTTAAGGTCTGGGAATGGGAAGCTGATCGACAACATTCTAGTATCTTTGATTGGGACAACTTCAACTTTTTTTCCTAATTGCTCGGGACCATATGGGAAATCCTTCCATACTTGACGAGTGACCTTCTTGTTTTCAATTGCATCAAACTCATAGGTACCTAAATACGATTCCAAAACATCAAGCGATTCCTTTCCGATGATGCAGCAAGACATTCTGAAAAATATTCAAGAAATACGACTCAATCATCATGTTGTTCATTACATGTCCGAACTGTACCACTTCTTGTGGAATTGCAGAAGAGCATCACGAGGTTCGATTCCTTTCTTGCGAGCATCTTCAAGCAGAGTTTGCTTGTTTCCTGTTCCAAACTTTCCATAGTCATGTCCGGGCTTCGAACGAGACCGATCAACTTGCAAGAAACGCCAGGAGTCGTTGTTTAGATTGTTCGAGTGTTCCGAGTCTACGGCGCATACTTCACGTTCTGTTGCACTCTCTGTGAATTGCGGAGACAAAAAGAACTGAACGAAACGGTCGAGAGCCCCAGAAAGTTGGTCTGGCTTCACATCAAAATGGTAGTTGGTGTGATCCGTTGCAGTGTACGCATTGGAATTTCCTGCGTGGGCGGAGAGGAACTTTGAATATTCGTTCTCGGATGGATATTTGGCAGTTCCGAGGAACAACATATGCTCACAAAAATGAGCAAGCCCAGGGAGCTCCCATGGGTCCATCAGGTGTCCTACTTTGACGTCGAGTGCAGCTGCCGATTTGTCGGTTGATGGATCTGACACCAAAAGAATGCGGAGTCCGTTAGTTAGCTCCAGACCTCGATACTGAAAAATTAAAAACTCAGCCGCTAACAATTTCTCAGTAATATACTCACCTCTCTCACATCTTGAGCTCCTTTGACAATAAGATCATGACGTTTAAGAACAATGTTCTTACCCGCTTCGGTCATTTTTGGCAGCGGATTAGAGTTCGATATGTTTCTCACTAATCGCAGTCGGATGGCAGACGACGGCGGTCTCCTGAAGAACCACATTTGTAAACGTATGAAAACATTTTTAGGTCGAGTTCACGCTGATCTAAAAAGTTATGATCTTGAAGATATAGGGACATCTATGGGAACATTACATGATAATTTATATTTGAGTCAGAAGAGAATACCATAGAGATAGAAATTATAAGAGAGAGAGAGAGAGAGAGAGAGAGAGAGAGAGAGAGAGAAGAATGGAAACTACGATGATGGTGAAGGAAACAGTGATTTCATGAAATATTTCAGAGCTTGCTAACCTGAGAACATGAGAATAGTTGTTGTTGGAAAATGAGCGCTTGCCGATTTGGGAGATAGCTGGCGACGGCACGCACCTACTCAATTTCGAGAGAAAATACATCTGGTTATACTCTGAAAATTTAATTTTTCTCAAAAATTCTAGTTTGGCGACGTACTGCTGATCAAATCGGGTGAAAAATGATGAAAAAAATACTCTGCGTCTCGAGTCTCTTTCGCGTGCCGATAGAGCGCGCCACTCATTGAAAATTTCAGGCTTGGAGACCCCGGAATTTGCGGGGTCTCTCAGGCTTGCCTAGAACTAGGCCTAGACAGGCCTGAATGGCTGAAACTCAAAAAACTATTTTAAAGTCTCCTGTACATTGTGGATTGTGGAAATATTTTTCTTTTACCAAAGCCAAAAATTATTCAGTCAGGCAACAAAAATTGAGAGAAATCTTCCGAGAAACGGTGAATCTGTGTTTCAAATGTTTATAAACCATACTTGTAATCCGGGCCTTTGCCGGGCTTTCGCGGGCCCTGCCATAATTTCTTTCAGAATCTATATTTTCGAACCAACTAAATCAGGTATGATAGATCTCCACGAGTACTACAAAACGGTATTATTTGGAATACTGTATTTTATCTATGAACAAAGTTACAGATCATAAAGTGGCTTTTCTCGCAGGGCCCGGCAGGCCCGGGGCGGGCCTGCTTTTTTTTGCTCCTTTTGCTCTGTAACTCTGTTCATAAACAAGATACAGTATTCCAAATAATACCGTTTTGTAGTACTCGTGGAGCTCTATCATACCTGATCGAGTTGGTTCGAAAACATTGATTCTGAAAGAAGTTATGGCAGGGCCCGCGAAAGCCCGGCAAAGGCCCGGATTACAAGTATGTTATAAACAAAATACAGTTTCGCCCACATGGAACAAAATCGATGCAGAATCGTTATAAAATGGGCCATTAAACAGACCATTTGTTCTCTTTTTCGTCATGTGGAGAATTCTATGTATACTTTACTAAAAAGGAAGGGGAACGAGGAAAATGAAGGGGAACGCGGGGTATTTATATTCTAACAAGAGCTCAGAAAACTCGGTTTCTATGGTGAGCCCAGTGCTTTTTTCAAAGCAAGAAAAGTCATATTTAACCTGCCTTACAGGTGCTTTTTAAATAAAAAAGAATGAGGAAGATAGTAGCTTGTTTCGCCCCTCAAAAATAATATGAGGAAGCCAACCTATTTCAACACTCAAACACTCGAACTGCAGTGTGATTTGGCAATATTTGTTTTTAAATTTTTAATCAGTTTATTACATGATAAAGAGAAGAGCAGAGTGACCTAGTAGGTCATAGAACAAACTTGAAAAAAAGGAACACCCTTGAGTTGTACTTATTAAAGACATTTTGAACACGAAATTATACAGTAGTACATTTAGTAGGCTGAGAGCAGCAGACCAGCTTTTTCAGAGATCTCATGAATGTCAATGCAATTTGGACCACAGACAGAGTCCTTCTTTTGAATGTACATCACGGATACAGAATTGGTGTTGAATGGGCGTTCAAACAAGACTGCATCAGACAACGTTCTCCCGTATTGAACACGGAATTCCTCACGTTCCAAAAGTTTGGTGACTTGAATGACGTCGACTCGGTTACCGACTTCCATGAATCCACCGTTTCCAACAGTTTCTCCGCTTTTGCACGCAACGCATCCGCCGAAAACAATGTTCCGTGGAACGTCAGTCAGAAGACGTGCGATGACGATTGGAGCAACACATGAATGAAGTCCATACCAATTGAAGGAGTTTACTCGTTCGCACTTTTTGAGGAAGGAAATCACATAATCAACAGTGAACGCCTTCGATGAGAAGCAGAATTCCGTTACTGTCTTGAGTGGCTTGTAGAGTCCGGAGTTGACAGCTTCTAGAACCGTTTCCGAATGAATCTGAAGAAAAAACAGATAATGAACGATTGGACAAGTGAATCTTACATAGACTCGCTTCCAGTTGGCGGAATAGAGAAGTTTGGCAACGTTCTCAGAATTCCGGCACTCGACGTCTTGTTTTGGAGAGAAGAAGAGTTGTTTCATGCTTTGTGGCAGCTTGAATTCTCTCGTGGAAGAGTGGTGGAATGACTCGATGTCCCAAAAAACGAAACAATTATTTTGGGTCACCTTTCAAATCTAACTAACCATGAGATCCAGAGTCTCAATCCGACTTCCTTTCAGCTTCGGCCAGAATTGAGTGAAATCAGTTTCGGATTGAGGGTTGCTGATAACTAGTCTTTTCGCATTAGGACACGATTGGAACAAGTCGAAGACACCATTGTGCATTGGGATAGATCCATTGAAGCAGATGTCTTCACAATTTGAAAGTGAGAACTTGTTGAATACAGTGAAGACGTCCGATTCTTTTGAGCAGTTGTTGAATCGAAGAGTGATGAGTTCTTTGGAGAAAAGTTCGAGCAGATCTTCAACAGCTCCCTGAGTCTTCTCTGCCACACAAGTGAAGATGGAATGGCAGTGAGCTCTGGAAAGACATGTTTAGATAACAAATGGCGGGAAGAGGGCAGCTGATCGAGCAGAAAACACTCGCTTAGGTCGGCAGACAGAGGCCTATGTAAGTTTCGTCATCTCGCGAAAGGCCTATCTGTCATTAAATACGGGGTAGAAGGGTTAGAAGACAATGGAAAAGACACAGGGAAAGAGAGTTGGTTTTAGAGTGATTCGGATTTTCAAGGTTGTAATAGGAGAACTTTTCTAAATCGGAAGTACTAATGTACTAGAACAAGACTAAAGTTCTGAGATTGAGACGAGCACTCAGCAGAAGATTCAACTCACTTGCCACGCCGATAGCTTCCCTTTCGGTTGAGAATCATCTCGAATTGAACCTTTTCCTTGGAACTTTTCTCGACTTCGCAGCATTCCTCTTTTGGAAACGTCACATGAAGATGAGCCTAAAGAAGATGTTACAGCTGAGTCTCTGAACTTTTCCCCGAAATCCCTTCAATTGCACAAAGTATTCGTCATCTCCGCCCTTCCCACAACGCCTACTAACATCTAGAAATCTGTAGTTAGTGTTAGTGAGGTGTGTGAGAAGGACTGAAACTCGAAAAATGTTGTTAATTAAAATCAAAACTGTTTTATTACCTCGTAGTGTCCAACGACGAACTTTACAAGCTCGCGAAGCTTGGATGATGACTTGGATAGGAGACAGAGAGATGGTGGGTGGTCAGCAAGGGTATAGGAAATATGCTCCACAAATCGCTAGACAACTCCATTGATAGGCGGGTCAGGCTGGTACAGAATATGAGGCAAATAGGTAAATAGGCCCGTCGCTCGCTGCCTTTTATACTCTCCCGTTGCAGGAGATGATGCAATAGGCCTCGCGAGGCATGTGTTGGAAGGGCCTATGCGAGAGAGTGTGTGGTGCGGAGAGAGCATAGGCATAGTAAGCGACAGGCCTATGAGAAAAAAGAAACAAAGAAACACCGGGGTCGATTGGAAGAAAATGTACAAGAGAAAGGTTCAAAAGTTAAGATAAGAAGTCAAAGAATATTTAAGGGAGGGTTTGGGCTCAAAAACGGCTGAAAAAAGAGAGCAAGACTGGAAAAGAGACTTTCGCAGTCAATAGGTAGATAGAAAAATTTATTGGGTACTGTAGTATACTGTAAGTAGTGCTATAAAAGTCTTGCAAGAAAAGGCTCCGATTTGTTTCGGAAAATTAAGCTCCTTCTTGTGTTTTTAGGATGTTTTCACAAATCGAAGAAAAAATAATTCATTGCCGTTTGGCATAATCCGCCGGTTCTGCTGTGGTTAAAAACGGAAAAGGAATATTAGCAACAATGACAATCACAGAAACAATGATAAATAGGAAAGACCAATCTTCAGGAGTATTATTTGGGCATAAATAACCTACTCCAAGAGGTACAACGAATTGCCAGATACATGCCATGAAAGCAATTACAGCAGTTGCAAAATGAACATGTTGTTGGCAACGCTGGAAAAATTCCGAACTGTGGAGAATGATAGAAACTGGCAAAACATACCAACTGAAGACATTTTATTGTTCCCATTATAGTTATTCCGGATAGAGTGACCGCGAAGGTATATGATATTTGAGCAATGGTTCGAGAAGTTGTCTAAAATTTAAGTTTAAATATGAGAGTAAATTTAGGACCCTCAAGCTATTTTTATTACCAAAGACATAATCATAAATCCAACAGCCAACCCAATCATTGAAATCAAAGTGCAAGTGATGAATTTGGTCTGAAAATGTAGCCATTGCGATTGACATCAGTTTCTACCTAAACTACCGTAAACCAAAACTTAAAAATCACACGAACCTTCTCAGAAAACATGGTGAGTCTATCAGTGAGTTGTCCGGATGCAAACTTCACAGCTGCACATGAAACGAAAGGTAAAGCAGCTGCCCATCCAGTTCCTTTGACATCAAAATGCAAAACTTCTCTCAAGTAAGTAGGTCCATACAGAATCAGAACATAAAATGCTACATTTCTTCCACACATCGCAAGCCACGTGGCAAGTACACACTTATCAGAACAGATGGCTCGATACGGTACGCTCTCCTTTCCTTGTTTAGGCTTCTTCTCTGCACAAATCATACTCAATTCCTTCGGAGATACATGAAAATGATTCTTAGGAGCGTCTGAGTAGAAGAAGAAGAAAGCCACATAAACAAGAACAGTCAATGATCCAAAGATGTAATAAATAGGTCTCCATCCATATTCAGATTCACAGAGAACTCCAGAAACAGGCATACAAATGATATTACTTAATTGGAAGCCACACGATAACACTGCTAAAAATGTTCCCATTTCATTTTTAGGTGCCCATATTCCAGGAATATAGGCGACTACTGTATAAAGAATAGACGTTCCGATTCCTTGCAGGATTCTGACAAAAAACACTGCATAGAAATCGATGGAAACGGCCAATGGGAACAAAAGTGAACTTGCTGCAGATATTAGACCAAATAGTGTGAATGTGATTCTGAACAATTTATTGATCTATAAAAACCCCTATAATTTCTTTCTACCGTAATCCAATCTGATCCAACATTGGAACAAGTGGAATCAATCCAATAACTGCCCCAATTGCAACACCGGAAAAGATAAATGATTTCTGACTTGGATCTTCCATCCAATGTAGATCAGTTCTATTATCTTTGTGATAATCTTCAACTATATCTTGCATGCAAATAACTGTGAAGTTGAACGTTAGCGAGTTCATCTGTCCTACCGTCATACATAAAAGTCTGAATTAGAAAAGCCAGGATCTATTTTTAAAAATTGTGAAACCTACGAGAGGATCATGATTACAAATCTGGTTTTGTGAAGGAATACAAAATTAGATATATGTCGAACATCTGGAAATCCTGATTCAATAGTTACCATTGTCATGGTTAGATACTAACTTCTATTTCCATGTACACAGGAGTGAAGTAGAATTTCAGAATTTGCATAATCTTCTATAACATCATAGACCGAAGAATCAAACGTGTCCTTTTGAAACACCAGGCAACATAGTCTATAGGATCCGATAATCGTGATAGTCATGAAAATAGCAATGTGACTAACTTTTTATTTTCCTGAGCTCTCACTGATTCCCAAATATTGTTTGTCAAATTTTAGGACTTACCGTAAAACCTGCAATAGAACGGCCGCCAAACTTTTGAGTTTAAGCTAATTTTTTTTGCTCCTATGCAACATATCGGAAATGGGACAACTGATAAAACATTTGTGATGTTGTGATAAACAATTTATCAGTTGATAACGTTTTTATATCTTTCACAGGGACAGAGAAAAATTGAGTCAAAGATAAAAATTAGGGGGCCCTTCTATTACAGGTTGTATGGTATGTTTTTCCTTCTGGCACAACTTTGTTTTGTGTACCAATTTAGAAAAACAAAAACTGCAAAATCTCTAGTTGATTTCCATGTGCCACTATTTTTCTACAGTCCTCTGGAGGCAAATAATTCGGAGGGTTAAAATATTTTGGGATCATTGTGTAACAAACCGATATGAAAGTACACTCGTTTTGAAGCCAAGACACCTGGAAAATACCAATTTCGTACCCCGGAATTGCAGGTTTTGTACCCCTGAATCGCTTTGCATCTCGTTGTCCCCTCAAATGGTTGTACCCTCCTCCGAATTATTTGAAATGCAATTCAATTAGAAGAATATTTTAGATCAACAAAAGAAGGAAATAATTGTATGTGTCAATTTTCATTCTTTTTTTCAAAAACAACTATAAACTGGAAACACAGGAAAATAAACGACAAGACTAGAATTCAAATTATTGTCCAATCAAACAGTGAAAAAAAACAGGAAGATAAAGTGCAGCAGTTTTACATACACATACACTATAGTTGGAAGTGCCATACAATTGAAGATTACGGTAATTCGTGAACATCAGAAAACCCGAAAATAAAATCAACTAAATTTAATCTTGGAAGAAACATGGATCAGTAATTTTGACCTTGAAAATATCGAAGATTTTTGCCAACTCCATTATTTTCAACCGGTCCAAATGAATTCTCTAGAATGTTTCAGAATTAGTTTGCAAATCTTTTTGAAATTAATATTTTTACCTGTAAACTGTTGACAACAGTCATAAGTTTGATGAGTCTACCAGCATAATTGGCCATTTTGTACTCTTTCATATAGTATTGATGAAGGTCATCAGCAATTTTTGCAATGAACTTTTCACCTGCGGCAAGAATATCTCCTTGCATTGTTTTGCCTGAAAAACATCACGATTTTTAGAAGAATTAGAATAGAATTCTCACCAGCGATATGCCAAATAATTTGGCACAGCATATAACTGATTTCAATTGAAGAAGGATCCAAATCAAGGAGTGGTCGAGCAACATCATCATATAATCGAGAACAAAATGGATGGAACATGTTTCGGAGTTCGATAGAAGTGTAATCTGTTATCTTGGATAGATCCACATTTACATGTTCCATTTGGATTGCAGTTGTGTTCGAGGTGATCAGAATCTGAAACAAGAATCAATCTATAAACAACAGTTTTAATGGTATTAATCGTGAATAAATCTAGGCAAATCTGAAAGTTTTCAGTTACTACTGTAATCCATCAAAATCTTTTCGTCGAAAACAACATTAAGCCATATTAACCTAAAGTATCCGCAACAAACTACGATTCCTTAAAGGTGGGGGAACATGAAAAAAATAATGTTCTCGAAATTCCGTTCAAAGATGCCTCTCGAGGAGTTGAACTTGTGAGGGCGATGATTGAGGGTGCGGCGCCGCTACCGACTGAGCCACGCGGGCCAAAAGAAAGCGCACGCCCGTTTGCATACATAAAGGCGAGGACGACAGCTGTACGCAGAGTGACATTTAGCGTTGTACACCGTGACGGTAGAATGCATACTCTAGCTACAAAAAAACTACGAAAAATCTCCTGTCCCCCCACCTTTAAAGGAGGACTTTGACCACAAATTTTATTGCATCAAAATGTTTAAAAAATATGTATTTTCCTAATATTTTTTCAGGAAAACAACTATTACAATAAACATTTAAAATCCTCGAAAAACGCCGTTGAAAGTATAGTATAAAAAAGGTTGGGAAGAGGGGCGAGTGTTCGAGTTCTTGCGCAGAGAGAAACCTAGGCCACGGTGCCTGGCAGCCTTCATTTTAAGTGGTGAACAGTGGTTTATCGCGTTTTCCCCCTGCTGGAGAAATAATAAAGTCCGGAAAAATTGTCACGTACAGGGTGGGGAATAAATATAGCGCCGCTTTCAAGACAGTGTAAAAAGGCCAAATCAAAACATTTTTTACTGAAATTCAACCAAAATGTTCATTAAGAGATAAAAAAAGATAGTATTAACAGTTTTTGAGCCTTTCTCCGTTCGCTTCGATAACAGCTCGAAGTCTCTTCAAGAAGGAGTCAACTACGACACGAGGGTAGTTGACGTCCAAATTGTCCCATGCCGCGTTCAAGGATCTATTCAGGGCTTCTGAATTAGGAAAATTTTTTGTGGAGACTTATTGGGTCCAATATTTCCATAACGAAAAATTCGTCGGATTGACTACCGGACTGGAAGCTAGCCATCAATCTTTTGTGAGAAAATCCGAAAAATCGGCTCGGAACCAGTGACAAGTGAACTTAAGTGGGTGCAGGCACTCCGTACTGTTAGAATGTCAAAATTGCCGTTCACAAGACGTGATTGGGACTGGGGCAGCACCTCCGACTTCAAAATCCGTTCGATGTAGAATTTTTGTTGGTTTTGGCTCCAAAATCGACAAATTTTTACCATTTGAGCATATCTCACCAAATACGATCACCGTGACCAAGTGAGAAGACTTATTCAGAATTTTCAATCACCAATATGCACTTTAATAATCGATAGACATGATTCAGTTGTTCTAGCCAGTCTTGTCTGCCTCAACAGTGAACATCTTCATCTGTGAAAAAGGGTCTTCAAGTGCGTGCCGAAGCGCGTGCCTCGAAGGAGATCTTCAGTTTTTTTCAGTTGTAACCTCTTGTGACGGTCTGTTAAGAAAGCGCCTTTTCGGGTTCAATATGGAATCATATGGAGCTGGTTTCGGAGGATATTTCTCATTGATTTGGGGAACATTTTAAACTACGACGCCATTTTTTCCATGATTCTTTCGTAATTCCTACTAATTTTCTCTCTCACGGCTTTGACGACTTCAGAAGTTGTCCCAAACATCAGATGACCGCTTTTTCCTATATTCTGGAAAGTTCCCAAGTCTCTAAACCGAAAAGTGTTCGATTGACCACAGATTTCCTGATACCATGTTTTTTAGCGACCTTCAAAGTTGTCACCCCTTTTTCGCGCGCGCCATACTAGGAGTGTGGTATGGAAAAATGGTCATTATTACCTTCAAAGTTGAAATAATTGGCTGAAACTTTCAGAAATAGTTTGAAACAAAATTACGAAGTAAAAAATATTAGGGTGTGCAAAGCAGACCGTTTTGCTGGCGCTAGAGCTTACGCAACGTTTGTGCGCTATAGTTGTTCCCCACCCTGTAAATAGACAAGCCGCCGGGATCTAAATTTTTTTTTTTAAACTGAATTCTAAAAATTGTCATTTATAGACACAATGACCTTGAATTTAATATCCCTCTTTAAAAATATTAATCGTGAAAAAAACTAGGCAAATCTGAAATTTTTGAGCTATTACAGAGATCCTTCAAAAATCTTTTTGATCCCAAAAACACTAAGCGTGAGTACGCCAAAGAATCCGCAACAAACTACGATTTTTAAAAGACTTTTTTAATTCCCAGTGCCAATTCTCCTAATATCCAAAAGATAATTTCTTTCATTTCTTTTCTTTGTTTTCTTTTCCGTGATTCACTATATTTCCTAAGAAATGCTGCAACTATTGTTTGCACTCATTTTTTCAATGGATGATTTCATCAAAACACAAAACTACAGAGAAAAAGAGAAACTGACCTTCTCTTCAAGAGCTCGTTTTCCAAAAATCTCCAATGACATTGTCAACTTCTCAAATCTCTGTGAAATTTGCCATACCAATTTGAAAATTGAGAATTTCTCTTCTGAACTTAAATGTCTGAACTCTTCTGAATGCATCATGAACTCTGCTACTTTTGTCATTTCACTGCCCCACATATCAACCAGTTGATCCAATCGAACAGTATTTGAAATCTACAAACTTCTCAACTACACTCTATCCTATGGTTCCGTACTCACTCGGAAGTCTTGTATCTTATGATGTTTCCGATGACGTCTCAAAGCCCAATCCATCTTACCAAGAGTATTCATCGTTTGATAAACCGGATCATCCTCTGGTATTTTGAACTGAAAAACTTTCAAAATGTCTACGAAATGGTGGTCTAGATGGTCTAACCTCCATAAACGTCTTGTGAATTTTATTCAATGTTTTCGACAAGTCATAAAGTGGTGGACCGTCAAGACATGACTTTTTGGAACCAGGGCTCCAATCCGAGTATGCATCAATATCAGTTCCATCATCATCACTTTGTCTTTTCCGATCAGTTGATGAGATCATATCACGGTTCCATTGGACATCTGTAATAAAACTCTGAAGTCAACTCCAGAATTCGGAATCTAGGATTTCAAAAAACTGGTGAAGATGTATGATCTTTATTTCCGTTTTCTTTGGAAAAAAAACTCACTGTCTGCAGTCATACCGAGTTGCAAACACTTTTTATATCTGCACAATCTGCACAAGTACCGTTCAGTTTTGTCGATTCGACAACCTTGGTTAGCTTTCCTACATGTATACTTCTTTTCCATCACAACTGATCTTCTGAAAAAAGAGTCTATTCTGAATGTCCAGTCTTGTCGTTATACCTGAAGAATGCAGCACATGCTCTGCATGACAGTACCCCAAAATGAACACCGTGTGCCGAATGTGCGCAAACCCGGCATTCGTAGTTTGAAGATGAAGAAGGCTGCAAACCTCAACAGATGATATATTCTATTTTGTGACTTATTTTGTGATGTGTGCCTATTTCTATGTGTTGTAAGGGATCGATAGAGTATAGAAGACGAAAAGACGCAGCATGTGAAAGAGATTTAGAGCGGTTCGGTGGGAACAGAAAATGTGTGTTTAGCGACGGAGTTTGTGATCATATACGTGCTTCGGCCTGTGGTTAAAATAGTGACTAGAGAAGTGTTCATCTGGTATCCGGAATTCGTTTTCTTTTTTTCGTATTATCAGATGGAGAAAAATACTTGGAGTTTGTGCCAGATCTATTACTTCATTGCTAGAGTTTGTGCCAGATATGTGTTGTTCAAATTCGGCATCAAAGAAACACAAAAAGTATGGGATTTGTGCTTCTGCTAAGCTCTTAAAAGCTTCTGAATTCTGGTGGACTACTGTGGGGAATGAAGAAGATTAGAACTAATTTGTGTAAGATCACAAAATGAAACCGCAATCTATGTTTCTGACATATCTTTCTGTTTTCTAGTAGTTGAAATCTCAAGAAGTACAAGAAATGAAATGGAACTTCAGTATCTATGTCATTTATTCCTTTAATTGGGAAAGACTGATTGGAGTACAAATAGTTGTACAATCATATTACTCAAAATTCGAGACTATGGAAATATATCGTATTTCCTTTAATAGAAGCCCACCCTAACCTTTAAGCTCAGTTATATCGATTCCTGTGAAATATATCAAAATTTTGTCAACTGATTTTGTCAAATTCTTCTGATGTACTAATAAATAATTTATAACTTGACACAATTTTGATACCTTTCATAAGAATCGAGATAATTGACCTCAAAGTTGGCAGCTTCCATCAAAGGAAATACGGTAACTAATTAAACTTTGGAGATGTTTCATTCCTCAAATAATTTCCTCGAAACCACCTGTTTATAAAATTAACAAACAGCAAGAATGAAGTCATAAATTAGGTGATTCATGTAAGTTTCAACACTTTTATTTTTTTCATCATTGCCTTTCAAACACTTACCAAATCAATTCCAAGTTGTCTCCCGTCTAGGAAACTTGGAGGGGACATTCCAATTTCCATTGCGGATGGAGAATCCTGAAAACTTGCGCAACTAGATAGGAAGGCTGAATCCATGATTTTTTAAAGATTCAAAACTTATTAAAATAATAAAATAATACAAATAAAGAATTGCGAACATATTGAGATAAAATATCTCAAATGAGTATCATGAGGATAGAAAAATTTAAACAATTCATGCTAAAAGTATGAGATGAAATACAGTACCTCAGTTTTACTTGGCGTAATTTCTATGAATACAGATTGAGAGACTTCCATGAAAAGCTGCTTATTGAACAGTATGCAAGACGTATAATCAAATGACTAAACCGCCTCTCGGGAGGGCGTGAACCATCCGATAAAATATTGGGAAGAAATGGGCGGAGCGTCTGTGTATATGAGTGTAGTTTTGCGCTGCTATGTGACTCCTATCCACAAATCACGACCCGACACAGAGAATAGCAATTTTCAGTTTCAATATTTTGATTGGTAAACTGGCGAATTAACATATAGAAATCAGAGAAGAAGTCACGGTTATGAGTTATATTTTTGTTATCAAATTGTGTCTTTTTTGTAGCAAGAAGAGGTTGAAATGGGTACTAAAACAAAAATTGACAGGCCCCGACTTTCAGGACATTATGGTGCCTATGGAAACTCTATGGGGAAGTGAATATGGACGGCAAAAGGATGAAAATTGCGCCTTCTATTCAGAATGATGCCGCCGTTTATGCATCACTTTTAGAAGGGATGATCATGACAATAGGTGTTAGAAGACAGAAAAATTCAGAATATCATCTGAATCGTTTATTTAGGTTTTTGAAACTGTTCCTCATTCTTCTTCAATTGCTTCCTTCTTTTCTGTTTTGTTCCCACTGTTCTCTCAACACCTCCGTGAGATTGATGTTTGTATTTTGGGCTACAAACCACGAAAGTCAGTTGTGACTACAAGCCACAGAGCGTTTGACCCAGACACAATCGCGAAAGACGCCAAGGTTTGCGCATAACTAGTGAACTGGCGCATAACTTGTTTTTGCCGCTTTGCCGTTTTTATGAGATCACTTAAATAAAATACAAACTATCAAATAAACAAACTATTTTTCAGAAAAATGTCTTCAAAATCTTTGTCACCTACAGAACCTACATGGACCACAACGGTGAGTCTTTTTAATACCCTTTGTCGAAAACTGACTATCGATTTTTAGCTCGGGAAGGCACTTGCACCTCGTTCGGTGTGGCCAGATAAAGACGAATTGCTGGATGTGGTTTACTGGGGAAAACAGGTGAGAAGAAATTATTCTGAATCTTGAAAAATGAAAAAAAAACCAGTGGAATTGAAACATTTATAACAAAAGTTGCAATAAAACACTTGAAATCGAATTTCAAGTGTTTGTTCGAATTTTAGAATCAATAAATACATAACTAGAACAATTGAAATTTTTCCATTAATTTTCTGGTACCTGAATTAACAAATGCAGTTAAAATCTGCAATTTAAATTGCAAAGAGAACGACTTTATGAAGTTATTAGTGAGAATATTCAAAAGCAAATATTCCCTTTAAAATTTATTTTTTCCAGGTTCTTTCCCTCCTCATTGGTTTTGTCTTCGGAATCACCCCAATGACTGGCCTTCTTGGCATTATCTCCTACGTCGTCATTTCATCTGTCGTCGCTCAACACTACGTCACGAAGTTCCAGAAAGTCGACGAAGAAGAAGTTGGAGGATTCTGGGAGCTCTCAAAAGAAGGATTCGGAGCTGCTTTCGCTACATACATGGTGACCTGGATCACAGTATACACGTATATAATGCAAAACTGAAATTAAAAAAATTAGATCTATTTATTGAATTTCCCCTTTCCTCTCCCCGCTCAAAATCTGGGTTCAAATCATCAAAGTCTTGAATCGACGATGTACGCGTGTGCCGTTCTTTCCTCGTTATGTTTAAATGCTTTCCCTTTCCTCTGTGATTCTGTTTTCAGAGTTTTAACCACATATATCAATTTCAGTTGCCTTTTTACAATAAATTATTTGGAATTTGATCTGTTTCCATTTACAACACCCTCATTCAAACTGAAAAGGCCGCGACCAAACTTCAGAATTACCTCGATTTATGTTAATGTATTATTCGATTCTGAACGAGGATACTTCAGATGCAGTTGGTTCTCTGGGTATCCCTGATTCTTCAACTTGTCGAATCGAATGATGTTACGATTTTGTTAGTTGGATCAAGGCACAAATTAACACAAAATAGAGTTATTGAAAAGAGGAAGAAAGTTCTAGAAGAATGTGAACGAAATGAGGTTAGGATTTTCTAATTGTGGAATTGCCTTTTCGGCGGACGAGAATTTAACGAACTAGCAAGAATTCGACTAATAAAATAGTTCGCCTACTTCTGTCTTCTGAAAGAATATCCTTCCTTGTTCTTCAGTTGAGTAGTTGCTCGTACAAAAAATCGGAACTGAAAAAGAAACGCCGGTCGCAGTAGCCGACGGCCCCCCAACTACAACTAACCTAAAAGTATTTATATTTTTCGGATTTGATTCGTAAATTTTTGTGAGTTCTCTGTCAATTTTTTCACTATTAGAAGATTTTTTCCAATTTTTTGGGGGAAAAATGATCGAAAACTCGACAAAGAACAGTGAAAAACGAGAAAACAAATTCGGAAAATAAACATATTTTTAGGTTACAGTTGTTGTCGTTGTGAGACCTTCTACCACGGGTACCAGCGTTTTTCAAAGCTTTGATTTTTTGTACCAGAATAACAACAAAGAAACACGCCTGCTTCTTTCTTCTGAAAAAATAAACCCTTCCTGCTTTATTCTCCACTGAACACCTATTTCAGATGTCTTGCTCTGTGGTTGATGCTCTAAATGACTCTTCTTCCGAATCACAAGGATTTTGGGCAATTACTCCTGCGATATTCACACTGACAAACGTTTCTGATTGGACTATAATCGCGGAAGACACTTCTGAAATCAATATTGAAAACTTGAAACGTTTCATTAGTACTGAGATTGCTACCGATACGGTTTTTGCTGGTTTTGGATTACGCGATAAAGAGTTAGTGACCAAAATTTAAATTCACAAAACTTATGACACAAATTCAGGCCGACAATCATCCATCATTTCGGAATGAATGCTCCAACAGGATTCCATTATCCATTGCTCTCTGTTGGATTTGTTTTATCAAGAACTGTAGTTGATTCTATTCGTACAGTGGATCAAATGGAGAATGGATTTTCTATTGATGTCAAATACGAAGTAAGTTTTAAATTTCTCAATTTTCAAGCTATATAGATTATTCCAGTTTGCCATGTTGCTCTATAAAAAGATCAACGTCCAGCTTCGGCATCAACCATCTCGCTTCTGCTGTGGGAACGATTTCAATACATGTATCATCCGTTGCTCTTCCCCTACTATCTCCAGCTTCTCCCTTCAAGATTCTGAAGTACATCTTATGGTAAAAACCTTCGAAGGACATCATAAAAATAGGCTTGATGTTCTGAAAAATACTTGGACAAGTGATGTGAAACGAGTTGAATACTGTAGCGATAAAGAAGATCGGACCATTCCAACAGTGGATTTGGGAATCGGAAATACCGAAAGAGGACATTGTGCAAAGACGTGGGCTATTTTTCGGAGGTTTTTAGAAGTTTCTGGAGTAGGAGCAAAATGGTTAGTAATAGCTGACGATGATACATTGATGAATTGGAAGAGACTGAAGCAGATGCTGGAGATGTATGATCCAGATGACAAGGTATGGTTCAATTTCTCTGCATTTTTCTAATTAAGGCATTTTTAAGATCCTAATTGGTGAGCGATATGGTTTTGGGTTCAACATAGATGGCTTAAGTGGCTATGACTATCCAACTGGAGGATCTGGGTGAGAAATATTTATTCCACTTTTCTTATTGTAATTTTCAGAATGATTTTCTCGCGATCTGCCATACAATCAATTCTCAAAGTATGTCCTTCATGTGCTGCTGACACGGATCCAGATGATATGACAATTGGAATTTGTGCAATTAGTTCGGGAATTCCGATTGTTCATGAATCTCGATTGCACCAAGCAAGGCCACAGGATTATGCTCCAGAATACTTGAAAAATCCAATTTCGTTTCATAAATTTACTGATATTGATCCTATTGCTGTATATTATAAGTATTTATTTGATATTGAGGATCATGCCCAACAAAATCACGATTCTGATAAAACAGAACTCTAGAAGTTTTTGTATTTTGCGTAGCTGAAAAATCATAATGTGTACGTTTTATTACGAGTTGATTCATAAATGCTTTAACTGGGTGAATAAAATAATATGACTATTTTGCTGTTTTAATCATTAAAAGAGAAGAATTCTGCTGAGATTTCAAGTACGCACTAATTTTGGATTCTGGTTCTTGATAAGGGAAAGCAGTGTACACAATGATAGAAATTATGACCATGAAAGTTCCCATTAGGAACATGAATCCAGGTGAGAAGTCGAAGAGAATCCAGGATCCAACAGCTGCTCCGATGATGGCCATACTTTGAGCATAAGCTTTGAGAATGTTATCAGCATATTTGATAACTACTGATATCAAGATTCCACCGATAGAATTTGTTACAGTAAGGCATACGACGACGAAGTCCCATCCACGGAATGCACCTTCTGAAATTCAAATACTTCAGAGAATTATTATTATTATGTTACAAAAAAAATCGGAGCTGTGGAAGAGAAACGCCAATTGCCATGACCGAAGGCCACAACTACAACTACCGTAACCCAAAAATATTTTTAATTTCCTGGTTTTTTCTCACGGTTTTCGTGCGTTCTCTGTCAATCTTTTCAGTACTAAAGTTTTCAATGTTTTGCCTTTTAGCGGAAAATAACAGGAAAATACTCAACGAAAAGCAGGAAAAACGAGAAAACAAATCCGAAAAATAAAGTTGTTTTTAGGTTGCTGTAGTTGTGGTCGTGCGGACCTTCGGCCATTGACGTTTCTCTTCCACAGCTCTGATTTTTTGTACCAGAATAATAATAAATTCTATAAGTTGATCTATGAAATAAATCGGATTTTTACACTATCGCACTTTTTTTTTTCATGCTCCCCATTTTTTTTTGGCATTCCGGAGCGTTTTCCTTTTCTTTTCGGTGGCAGCCTAACTCTTCGCAGTCCTATCTCCTCGCGCCAAATGACACTCACAACCAAACCATTGTTATTCATCCATCCTCGTTTTGAAACACTTGATGCAGCTCTCTCTTCTCTTCATGCTCGCTGACACAGTGAGCAACAGTGTGAGCAACGGTCAGTGAGCAAACAGAATGCTCCCCGGGGGCAAGCATGTGCTCTGGTGGCTCCGGACAGTGCTGGCTTTTTCAAGAGGTGTGAAAAGAAAAGAAATTGACAATGGGCAGGTGAAGCGGATCCATCTCTTTTCTTTTTCGAAGACGGTGAACACACAACTGTATACTCTCGTTTTCTTTCGACCGATGATCTTTCCGGTTTCATTGACACCTCCTTTTTTAAATTTAGAGAAAAAAGGTTCTTTCGAAATCCGAAACCCAACCCGTAAAAAGCTTTTACCCATGTATATTTCGAACTCACGTTCGTTGATTTTATCCCAGTCATAGTACCACATTGAAAGAAAAGAAATCGGAAGTCCAATGAGAGCAAGACGAATGTTTTGGACCCAAATTGATGCATTACTTGATTTCAGCACTTTTTCCAAATAGACTCCTGGAAATTAGTGATTCAATAATATCTATTTTGAGCGTAGACAAAAATAAGATAGTGGGGGAAAACCTGAACAAACAAATCACTTGATTTCAAAAAGAACTTCAAAGAAGAGGGTGTTTTTTTTAAATCATCGAGATTCTCAAACTTCTCATAGAACCTGGGATGCTCGAATAACGTACACAATTCTTCATACCCAAACCAGGTTTCCGAATGGCATGTCCCTTCTTCAAGCTGCAGTAACCTCCCATCCCTTACGGCAAGACCTTACCTGCAAACGCCGAAGTGAAACACATTGTCAGAACTGCAATGAATCCGTACATTGGATTTTGTTCAACATCTTCGCTGGCTGGTGGTGGAGAATAGACGTATTGGATATCAGCAACTCCCAAAACTAACAAAACCAATGCCCACCATTGCTTTGAAGACAATTTCTTTCCCAAAAAGAAGTACATAAATATGGCAGTTGTGAAGATTTTCATTTGATAAGTGATCTGAAATCAACTTTTTCTTAAGTTTCGATCATGTTTGAACATTTTTCCTATATCTCTATGATCCCTATTTGTTTTTCATGTCGCCGAAACACTTGACTTTTTTGTTTCTGTGCTCGTTGTTTTGTTCTAGTTCCTTACACAGAAAGTTGTCGCCTCCAAATGGGAGAGGGCAATGTAGTACAAATTGTTTTGAAGAGTGTAAATCAATGCTGGAATACAAACTTTCAGAGTTTCAGATCGATTGTCGACTATCGCAGATTTTAACTCATTGACGTATCTGAAAATTATTCAGAGTGAAGATGTTTATTGGTTTTACTGTACTAACTTTGAAATTGATTTACTTGTGTAAATTATGATTCCAGAACAAACTACAACCTTGATAATTTCCATCATGAATACATTAACAGTTGTAAAGAAAACATTAGAATCTTCTCTGGCTCTTGAATACCTTGCCATTAGAGGCATACTGTAATTCAAAAAATTATGAGATAGGAAAAATAAAACCAATGAAAATACCTCGCTTGTTGTAAGGTAAGCAGCAGTATACCAAAATATTTGAATTTTGAATCAGTTTCCGTACTAGACATTTTTGAAGAGTTACGTTTGGATTGCAGAGAATATTTGAGGATGGGGAAGAAATTAAAAAGACCACGAAGCTGGATGAACTAGCTATTAAGGGAAGGGAGAAGAATTGAGATGGTTATCGGATGCATCCAGACGACAAGATCCGACTTTTCGATTTGAAGAAAATGAGATATCCGCTAGAAATAAGGGACAAGTAGAGAAGGTGAGATGGGTGGTGAATATGAAGCAGTGATTGAAAAAAATGAGCAACAAAATCTGCATTAATGACTATCTATTCTGATCCCTATCTATTCTTTCAAAGTTGAGGAGAATTCTTGATCTTTAAAGAATTTTTGATCTTTAAATTTTCATGAACTTTCTTGGAAAAAAAGAAATGTGAATTTGAAAATTTTAGAAAAACCAAGTATCCCAAACCTTAACGTTCAAAATCATAGCAAGTAGACCTGTGGAATATCGTTCTCAGAAAATCCGTTAATATTTTATGAGTAAAACCATATACCGTATTTTCTCTAATAGAGGCCCATGGGTTTCTATTTTTCAACCTCCTTTTCTGAGTGGACGTCTATTAGAGAAAATGCTTTTTTTAGAGGCTTTTTGGTTCTTAATTGAGTAGAAATACTCAAAAAATGACAAGAATTAGCGGGAATTGCCTGAAAGTCAAGAAAAAATGTCTGCAATAACCGAGAAGCCGAACTGCACAGCCAGGGTGTGGGCTTCTGTTAGTGGTGGGCTTTAAATAGAGGTGGGCTTCTATAAGAGAAAACATGGAATTGGGTCCAGATACCGTACTCACTCTAACTGAAGTCAACCCAAACCGTCAACTTTGAGCTCATTCATCTTGGCTCCTGACAAAGATATCAAAAAGTGGGAAACTAAAAAATGTTTTTGATACTACCAGCCTGTTTGCCGCTCCTCCGGCGCTTCAAACAGCCGGCTGGTGCGCCTTCGGCGCGATTTGATCTATTTTTGCTTTATCGTCGCTTTTCTTTCTTTTTAAAAGGTCACGTCAAATTATATTCAATTTTCAAGCTTTTTATATATTTCGTTTATTCGAAGGATTTGAAGAAATAAGGAGTGATGGTAACCGGGAAAAAAATGGTAAAAAACGAAGTTAAGAAGGCCTAACCCGCAAGAGTTAGTCCTAAAAGCTTTTCAGAAATGTGCGGACAAATCCACAGAGAAAGAGACGCAACTTCATTTTTCTTCCTTATAAATAAAACGCTAGAGGCGTATGTCCGTACCGGTGTCAGTCTGTAAACTTTTGAAAAGCTTGAAAAATTCATATAAATTTACGTGACCCTTTAAAAATAATTGAGGAGCTGAGCCACGAATCAGTAAAAACTAGATTGATTTGCGCCGAAGGCGCACCAGCTTGCTGGTTTATTATAAGAATGATGATGAACGTTTTATGAATTGACCACTTTTTGATATCTTTCCCAGAAAATGAGATATATAGGCTCGAAGTTGACGGCTTGGGTAGCACTCTACAAGTATTTATGGTATTTGAGGGAAAAGCTGACTATGAAGTTGCTCGTTCATGGAGAATCCGTTGGTATCTTCATTAATAAAGACAAATATCGGGACTGAATGTGATTAGTTCTGTTTCTAGACTTTGTTCTTCCAACTTCTGTTTTCAATATTGCTGTTCTGGACCTTTCAAACTGTTCCTCTCCCAAAAATCCTTCCGGTTGCTTGATCTCGGCGACCTTTGGATGTTGTGTTCCAAAGGACATGATCCGGATTTTGGCATCCCTATATCCACTTGACTGCTTGCTCTCACCAACAATTCTCACCCTTCTTTTTTCTAAAATATGCAAAAACAAACAAAATCGGGTGCGGCAATGTGTCATCGAGTCGCCGAGCCATGCCTTTGTTCTCTAATGAGCGGGCGCAACTCCGTCAACGCATGAGATCGTTTCCCGAAATACTTCCGTTCCTCCACCCACAATCTTGAACTCCTCCTACCTTCTCCTTTAATATTTCCTTGGCATATTTCAGTATTGTTAAGCAGCTCCCAGGAACCCGTCGGCGGCTCAACGACACTAGACAAAACGCGAACGAACTTTCTTCTCTCCGCTGCTCGCCGCGTTCTATTCGTGACCCTCTCATCTCTCTCCTCTAGCGCCTATTTGCTCCACCCCCAAATAACTCCCATCCTTGCTCAGAGGCATCGGCGGCGACTTCTGTGCTCAATCTCATCACCGTCGTTCGGACAGTATCCCCCGTTGTTTTTCCGCATCTGAGCTCTCCAAAAAGAGCTAAAGTTTTCCACAAATGCGGCTCGCTGCCCAACTCATTCTCATCACCATTGCCACATTTTCGGCAAATGCTGGCCAAGGTGAGTACTTCTGAAATTCATATTCCCTTCATTTATACTTTATCTCCTAAATGCCAAAAAGCCTGATTGATAATAGTCAAGGTTTTGTTGAAATAGAATTTATCTTGTATCTGCAGAATCCGTTTTTGTGAATTCTGTAAATTTGCAATTTCAGAAATTGCCAGTAGACCTGAAACACAAAATATCCAAATTGCCAAGAACCTAGCATCCTAGTTGAACCAATTTTATTTTATTAATTTATCATTTTTCTACAGTAATTTTACAATTAAAATTCTTTCATGATCTTACAGTACTCCTCGCAAAGCTTCATTGTCTATAAAGATTATTCTGATGCTTCGAACTCTTTTCGAGGCATTTAATTTTAGAAAAGAGTGTTTCATAAATTCTCTATTTTCTCAGAGTCAATTCTTCAGATCCTGATTTCAAACATGATTCTAGAGATACGGTATCTGAGAGTGTATTCTTAATGAACATTGACTATTAATTAGGTTTCCTACTCTTGGCCAAATAGCAATGTATGCAATTCATAATTTTTCGTCAGCACCTTTTGCTGCTTTTCCCATCGAAATATGTTTGTGTTCGCAACGAAACATGCATGCGTGTTCGTTTTATTTGTATTCGTGTTTCCCTCGGCAGTTTCATGTTGCGTCTTCTTTTCCCTTTTTTCGTACTCGAACAAATGTTTCTAGATACATCTGAGAAAAAGGGTTTTGGCGTCTGGAAAAAAAATAGAAGGAGGTGTGATAATGATGAAGCTGATGACCGGTGTGGTTGAGCAGAACAAACAGTGACACCTATGGGATTCAACTGTTTGTTCAGTTTCTTTCTTGTCGCAGTTTTCACCTTCTCAGTGGTCAGGTAGCTTACCCTTCTTAACCATTTTTCGCAAAATTCCCACGAACAAAAGAGTAGTGGCGAGAGACAAAAGAAGAATAGAAGAAAAAGGGATGATCCTGAAACTAGAAAAAATAGCGAAAATAAAAATAGCGATATCCAAATTTCAATAGTTCTATTCTGGTTTCTTGAGTCACCTGAACCAATAGGTTTTGAATGAAACCGAAAAATTCGAAAACCAAATATGTTTCAGCGTCCCGACAAGCTGCCGTGAATCGAGCAATCGAACAGACAAAATCAAGATTAACACCAGCAGCAGCTCCATTGAGAGTACCACCGAGAGCCAACGTGCGTTTGAATGGCGATCAACTCACCACGGTACTTACTCTTTTGATCTACTACAAAAATAATTTTTGAAGGATTTTGAAACTTTGATAAAACAGGACAGAAAGCTGAAGAAAAAGAAGTTAAATGTAGTAGATCAATATAATTTCTTGGGTTCTAATTTTGGTTCAATAAGTTTAACACAATAATTTTTAACATTCAGTTGAACACTATAGCTTTATGATTAACAACAACCACTCACAATACATAATTGGATGCTGACGGAAACATAATTATCTGAAAATATCGGTGAAGCTCCAGCTTAAACACTTTTATTTCTATATTTTCAGCATGTCTCACTCTCATGATTTCAATAATTAACCAAAGAACTATCGATACTATCTAACATTATAAATTTTAGTCAAGTTCTGGTAAAACAGAAAATCTCGATGTCGACAGACTGAACAGATTGATTCGGGCACTTGATAAAACATGGATTATGCCAAAAGCTGGAGCTAAGGAGCCAGTTGGTAGTAACTTCCAGGTGAGAATTTTCAAAATTTCACTTCTTAAAAAAAATATAACTTCTTACAGTACAAAAAAACTTGTGCATCGATCTACAAGGCAAGACATGGAGCATGCCAGCAACTTGGTTTCGGAGTTATGTGCTTCAACTATTGTCATGAAAGAGGTAAGTGTTTTTCTTGGTAGAATAATTCCAATTTCAATAACTTCCAGGAGAGAAGCTGGCTTTCAAGTGCCAAGATACATCTGATACTTCGTATTGTAAACAATCTGGAACTTTCGATACTTTCTTGGCGAAATATAGAAAGGATGGCTACAAAGCAAAGGCCTATATTCATCAGGTATAGCTTCTTATATAACAACGCCTCATGTCTAAATTTTTAGATGATCTCTCGTTGTTATGCCACAACTGTCTGTAATACTCAAACTGGTATTCTGAATTCCACGATTATTGATGAAGATCCAGAGCCAATCGAGAAGACAACCAAGGTTTGTAAGAATCTTTGAAGTTGAATATCTTTTCCGTTTCATTTCAAAATAATCCTATGTTAAAGTTTTGTTTGGGCATGCCTTTCTTTTCCAGGCCAACCGTCTGAAGTTGTTGACTCGCAAGCCTGGAAACGCGTTGTCGTTGATGAAACTGAAGATAAAGACAACCACGACAACTCAGACTCCAGAAGAGGTTCCAGAAGAGGAAACAGCTCCAGAAGAGGAAGAGGAAATCACAACCACTACCAGAAAAACTAAACCAGCCAAGGTTCATTTAAGTTTGTTTTCTGTTTTATGAGTTTATGTTTTTTGTAGCTATGTTTTTTGAGGATTGCAGGTGCATTAATTTTTTCTTTATTTTACAAATTTGTTTTCCAGAAAGTAGTGAACAACACCCTCCGTCAAAAGCCAACACCAGCGCCTGAAGTGACAACAACAAAGGCTAACATTTGGGACAAGTGGGTCATTTTCTATATATTTTTTCTAATTTTGGCGTTGACAAAAAGTTCCCACGGCTCTCACAAAACAATGTACAATCACCATGTTTGATAAGAGTGGATAACAGAAAGAGCACATTTTTTGACCGCTCCTCCCCGACTCTTTTCTCTCAAGTGTCGCGCAGAGCCTTGAGAACATCACGCATCGAAAAAAGAAATGACAGATCGGATACGACTTTTGAGATGATGATCCTTCATTAGAAAAACATTACTTGATGAAATTTTGAAATTCCTTGCATTTTTTGAAATTCAGGTTCACAATCGGAAACAAAGCAAAGCCAACACCAAAGTACATTCCATTTTGGCAGCGATTGATGTCAACAACTTCAAAACCGATTGAAGATGAAGCCACCGAAGAAACTGAATTACAAACAGATGCTCCAGAAGAAGTGGAAGAAGCATCAACACAAGCAGAATTGTTGGAAAAAGAAACTGAAGAAAAAACTCCAGAAGAATCGGAATCCACTACGATTCCCGAGGAAGACATCGTGGAGACGTAAGAATTTTTCCTTTTGACGTAGGAACAGTCCCTGACAGCATATTTTTCTCAAAAATCATGTTTTAAGTTTGTTTTCAATTTCTCCCAAGGTGTTCAAGTTTTCAGTTGTAGGAAATGATGTGAAGTAAGAAGTCTTCTTAACACCTATCAATGGTTGTTAAGCAGGATGAAAAAAATATTCGTGGGATAGTAACCAAAGAGCACGAAAATAGTTTTGGATGATCTCCAAATGCGTATATTTTTCATCATTTTTTTTTTGGTTCGAATAGTAGAAATGTTCAATTAATCATACATGAGCTAACAATAAGAAATCAAACGAAAATTTCAGAAAATCCAAGGTGCACAAAACCAACGCTGAATCAACTGAAGCTCCTAGGCATACATTCAAACCAATTCCAGTCACTGTTCCTCAAACTGGACCAGAACTTTCTCATCAGAAACCAAATGAAGACGTGTCTGGACCAGGATTCTGGAATCGATTCCAACCGAATCGTTGGTTTGATTCCATCCACTATGTGACGAATACTGGAAAATAAACTATTCAATCATTATCGTCCTTCCGCTCTCATTCATTTTCCGTCTTTTCTTTCCATTCTCGGGTATTTCTCTCCCCCTCTCTCTCCCAATTTTTTTCCTAAATCTTTATATCATGTAACATTTTTTTCTCAAATTTCTATTCTATGTCTTTCATAAAAGTATGCCATATTGGTGGTATTGCGTGTTTCAGAATTCTATCTTTTCATTCAAAACTTGTCTATTTATGTCAAATGAAGAAATTTCAAAATTCGTGGACTTTTAAAATTGAAATTTAAAATTGAATGCTGAAAAAAAAACATTTACAAAACTCGAATTTATTTCCATTCTAATTTGGTTGCAAAGCTGCTCTAATGGGTTTGATTCTGAGTATTTTGGCAGAAAGCAAAACTCATTATGAGAAGGTCCAACCTAGCTCTAGATTAGTATAATTTTTTCTTGATTTTAGGACAAACACGAGTGGGTCAATTATTGTAATCTGAATCAAATGGTCTACTTTGACGTTGGATTTGAGACTGGAGTGCCGATTGGAAGGTTTAAAAAGAAACATGTTCTACTTAATCTCGGTTGTTCTTATTTCAGAGTTATCGTTGAAATGAATGGAGTGATGAAGAAGAATTTGTCCGAATTGTTCGTCAAAATTGCGCGAGGAGACTTTGTGCATCCAGCTTACGGTAAGCATGGAATCGTCATTATCCTACTATGATGCCTACTATGATATTCTTTTTCAGAAAAGAAAATCGAGTACACTGGGACCGTTTTTCACCACATCTCATCTCCAAAAAATATGATAATGGGTGGTGATGTGCTTTACGGAAACGGATGCGGTGGATGTGCTCCGGTGTGTCGTAAAATCTTCCAGGAAAGCAACGTCTCCTCAGCTGTACCGAATACACGTGGAAAAGTGATTCTCCTCCCATCGGATACCAATCCATCTGTATTCTCTTCATTGTTCTATATTCTTCTGGATCAATCAGGACCATCGGTTGTGGATGGATGCTCGATTGGAGACGTGATTCAAGGAATCGAGATCTTGGAGCAGATTGTGAAAGATTATGGAACCGAGAATGGAAGACCAACAAAAAAGCTGATCATTCACAAGTGTGGACATCTGTGAAAATTCTCTCCCGAATATTTTTCCCCATTCAATCATTTCTTTCTCCATCATTGCTTTTTGATAAATGAGTGTTTTCTTCCAGTTTTTCTGCATTAACATGAAATAATACATAAAAAAACAGCTATTGCTGAAATTTGTTTTTTGGAGAACTAAAATTATTGTCGAATTAAAAAAAGTGGGACCTGGAAAAATTCGCGGGCGGCTTCCCGGTCAATTTTGAGGCTTTGCCCAAAAACACTACGGTAGTAAACGAAACTTATTTCTGTGAATTCAGTGGGATTTCCAGACAAAATGTAGATTTTTTGGTATGAAAATGATCGCTATCATCTCGAGAATCTGTTTTTCATCGAAAAACCAAACTCAATTCCGAAAGTAGCTCGAACGAGGCGAAAACCTGAAATATTACGTTTTTGCCGCATTTTTTCGTAGATCAAAAAAAGCTACGCATTTCGAATTCTCAGGTCCCACTTTTTTTAATTCGGCAATAGCTTAACTTTTGGAAAAAAGAACAGAAACGGAAAATTTTTAGGTCCAGTAATTTTTTGACCTACAGGTGAATGCATTTTTGCTAGAGCCGTTTCTGAAAAAAAACCAGAACAAAAATATAAATTTTATGTGTTTACACGATATGTCTGAAATAGCTTTTTTCTGAAAAACAATGTAGATTTCGCAATAATGCAGAGCGTATTTCGCAATAAATACCGTAAAACCTGTAATATTAAAGAAGATCTCCCTAATTTTTCGCTTTGAGCCAATGTATCTCGGTTCCTGTCAAACATATCAAAAAGTGGTCAACGGACAAAATGGTTATCATATGTTTATCAAAATTTCGTTCTTCATTCTTTTTCGATAAATGAATGTTTTCTCTCAATTGTTCTACATTAATACAACATAAATACATCTTAAAAACGATAATCCATGTTTTTAGCAATAACATTTTTTTTGACTTCCTCTAGAAGTCGATTTAGAGCTGTTGGTATTTTGAACTTGATTTTTGGAAAACTAAAATTAGCTCTTGAAAAAGAACAGAAAAAATTCAGATCCATTCGTATTTTTACCTACAGGTGAATGCATTTTCACTAGAGCCGTTTCTGAAAAAAACCAGAACAAAAATGTAAGTTCAATTTTTTCTCGATATGTCTGAAATAGCTTTTTCTGAAAAACATTGCAAACTTCGCAATAATGCAAATACAGTAAGCCATGTAATAGAAGAGCCTCCTAACTTTGTATTTAGGTCTTGGAGCAGATTGTGAAAGATTATGGAATTGAAAATGGAAGACCAACGAAAAAGCTGATCATTCACAAGTGTGGACATCTGTGAAATTCCTAAACGATCCCAATTTTTCTCCAGTATAATTTTCCCATTCCTTTCATTTTCCATCACTGCTTTTTGATAAATGAATGTTTTCTTTGAAGCGCCGGAGGCGCGGCAAACAGACTGGTCAAACAGACTGGGTCCATGTTGTCAGCAATAACATTTTTTGACTTCAAACTTGATTTTTGGAGAAGTAATGGGAATATTTTGAAAAAGAAACCGAAAAAAAAATAACAATTCCAGATCCAGTAGTTTTTTGACCTACAGGTGAATGAATTTTTGCTAGAGCCGTTTCTAAAATAAACCAGAACAAAAATATAAATTTCATATGTCCGAAATAGCATTTTTCTGAAAAAATGCAATCTCGCAACAATACAAAAAGCGCTGAAATACAGAAGCTTCTACGACAACTCGAATGAATTCCCGGAATTATCTTTCGTATATTCTTTTTTTTCATTTCCTCATCCGAAATCCGTGTCAAATTGTGTTGGTCGCTGTCGTATGAGGGAGTCACTAAGAATGCGGAAGACGAAAAAACAATTACAAATCGGAAAATCTGGAGATTTACCAACAAATTACTATGGCTTAAACCCAGTTGTAGTTTTAAGCCAGCTTTAACAATTCCGCGTGTTCGTCTGTCTGGTGAATACGTTTCTTATCCGGTTGAAACCCGCTACGTATTGTTTTCGGTGGGTTCCGTGATTCACTTAAACCTTATATCGTGACATCTAAAACAAAATTCATCTAGTAGTAACTTGTCCTCTGAATCATGTCTCTCGAATTGTTCAACGAATTTTGAGTAACTTTTCCATATACCGTAAAACCTGTGATATTATAGAAGAGCCCCCAAACTTTTCGCTTTGAGCCAATTTATCTCGGGTCCTGTCAAAGATATCGAAAAGTGGTCAACGGACAAAATGGTTATCATATTATCAGTAAACTTTTAGTAGTTGACAACTTTTTTATATCTCTTCAAAGAATCAAGACAAATTTGCTCTATTTCGGTAAGGATCTACAGTTTTTGAAAAATCGTCTGAATCCGAAAGTCGGATTCATGGTTTCTTTGCCGCCCAACTCTTGTTACAGTCTCCGTCAGTAGAGCAGTTTGCTCCTGCAACCTATGTATACAACGCATCTAAAATTTCAAGATTAAAATTTCCGAACATAAAACAATGTTACTCTTCGAAACTTTTTCTTAAAACCTAGAACTCATTTGACAAAAAAATCATCTGAAGATCAGAACTGAACCTTCCAGGTGAATTCCTTTCAAGTGCAACCAAAAATAACCTAATGATCGTTTCAGCTACACTTCGCATAGGAATTTTTCGTCATAACTTGTCATAGTCACATTGTTTTTTACTTGTAAAGAAAACTGTTTGGTTTTTACCAAAACATGAAAACTCGTGATTAAAACTTCCGGGGGTTGACTATTCACCAGCTTCATGTGCAATGATACTACCCTTTTGAAATAAGGGTAACCAAAAATTAAAATTTGAACAAAAACAGTTGCAAATGATGTTGACATGAAGCATTCAAAATGGAGCATTAAGTACCGTTTTGATAAAAAAAAAACTTCAAAAAAAAATTAGTGTTTGTTTCGCTGAACTGAATGGTTTGTCTGTATAAAAATTATATGATAACACCTGAACCTCAATTCTACAGATCTTTTCAAATCATTTCCTGTTTGAAAAATCAAATCGACTTTGTGCCAATTTTGCAAATTTGAATCGGATCCCATTTAGATAATTCATGATTGCTCCCCATATTATGTTGATTACTGTCTGATCTTTTACACTGCTTGAAATATTTGGCCTGCTTTTCACTACTGAATCCGATTTGAGAATTGTAATTTTTCCAGAACAACAAATACATGATATCATATCAGCTGTCGGGCTCGTTTCTTGCATATTCAAAATGTCGTAATATGAACGATAAATTTAGGTTGAAAGACCGATAAAAAATCAAAAAGAATTATTCCGATAAGGAAGAAATGCTTCTTCAACATAGTTTGCTTTACTGTTGTTTGTGAGTAGCTCGAAACTGTTTTCGAAAAGATTCTTCACTAATGATGTCTGCGATGAATATTTCGACTTTCTGACTTTTTAGTTATTATTTGAAAAATAAACAATGAAACATACAGACACATCAAGGAACTTGAAAACTTCAAGGTAGAGAATTCAGTCTTCGATAACAAACTCTCAAAACATACAATCGACATCAGAACCGAAAAAACGTCATACACAACTTTTTGTAGGATTACTTTCATCCGTATAGCCATTCCATAATGGGAGAACAGATCTGGAACAGTCTGAAATGTTCTGGGGGTTACTCAGCATGTCGAAAAATAAATATTCAGTCTCAGATTATCTCTTACAATCAACGATGGGAGCGGTTTGACATGAGCCGATAAGGTGGCCTTAAAATTGAAAGACATATCAACAAAACAAACAAGTTAAAGACATGAAAGATAAATTTTCAAGGTATTTCGGGCAATACTTGGGCGAGACTACGACATGGTGTGAGCAAAATTTCGAGGTTTTCTCTGAGGAAGATCTTTCGATTTCCCGGAATAAACTCATTTTTCAGAGTTCACTTGATTCTACTAAACACTTTTATTATATCTACAACATTCAAAGAGCTAGGATTATCTGTCTGGAGGCATTGTTCATGAAGTTTGACCGAGAGAACCTTGAAAAGATGGTGATTTGAATGATGTGAGATGTATTTAATTGTTCGAGTTTCTTTTGTATTCTGTTTTTTTTTTCGAGCTTGTGTTCATGAAAAAGTCCAAGTATAACAATTATCATTTATTAATGAATGCCACTGATTGGCTGCTACGACCGTGATACAGTATGTTGAAATGCACAAGTGAAACGGAGAATCAACAAGAGAAAATCAAAGTAGGGAACGTAAAGTGGTGTGTGAGAAGCCATTTTGAGACCAGTGGCAAAGTGAGATTTTGAGATCGTAACCGGGGACATAGTAGTTTTGAAAGCGAGTATAGTGAAAGAGACTAGCTCAGGTTGTCAAAACAAACTTGGATAACATGAGAAAAATGAATGATAGAAAATCAAGAATAAATAATGAAAGAAACGAAGCGGATATGTGGATGACGGTAGGAAGAATCTACCAACAGGATGCTCAAATGGAAAACTTTTCCATCAAGCAAGAGTCAAAAAGATATGGAGTGAATGTCTTCGTTTCGAAGATAAATTAATGGGTCATAACCACTGGGCTAATCAGTGAAGATAATGCGGCCAGCGGATTGAGTGTAGAATTCCTCAAAGGTCCATTCAAATTCGAGGACTTTTTCGTCAGGTTACTTTGTCGGATAGCCGCACGTTTGACGGCATTCTGGATGCAGTTTAATCGGAGGGAGGTAACTGAAATAAGTGAAAATAAGGAACTGATTTTAATTGTATTGAAGTATTTAAACTTACCAATTGAACTATCCGTTTTTGTCAAGAAACTCGTTGGCTCAATGAGCTGTGGAGTCTGAATAGCATTCCCGAAAATTGGGGGTAGCTGATAGATTTGGGATCTGTAGAAGTCAGAGTCGACAGTAGGAAGTGGGAACTCTGGAATCATAGCTTCCCTAATAGAAGGTGGGAATAAAGTCTTTTGATGAAGTGTCAAGAACTGAGAATTGTCTGATACGCAACGTCGATTTTATAGAAAAGGCGGTCTGGTCGAGGTGATAAGAACGGGGCGTGGTCTAGAGTGTGGGGAAGAGAGGCTGAACTGAAGCAGTAGCGGAAGGCAAGAAAAAACTCCGCCTTTGCCCAGGAGAGACGATTTCGAAACGGTTTTGCAAGAAAGGGGCGTGGCTTGTTAAGTGCTACGTCACTTTTCCCACACACGGTGGGCAAATATTTAGGTAGAGGGAGGTCATTGTCACAGATGATGATGCAAATTTCTGTGGTTTCAGTATTTTGGGACAGACACACAGTGTGTCCATTATTGTCAAAGTACATTTTTTGAAATCGTGAAGTACTGTAGTGTACGTGTTCTTTTGACTTTTGACAGGAGAAAAAGTTCCCATCAATATAAGAGATAAGTTAGAAAGGGAAAGAATGCAGGCTAAAGGAATTTTGAATAGGAGAAGATGGCGAATAAGACAGATGATTTATGAGAAAAAGATTTGAATGTATAGCCAGTTTCCGGAGGATACTGTAGAAGGTGATAGATCTGGGTTTATATCAATTGTTCTTTGCTAGTGATCGCTCCAGTTTTTGTTGTTCGGAAACTTCTTGAAATGGACAGAGGGTTACTGTAGTTTCAAATTAAAAATTATAATTGCCATCAATCACTACATGTCTGAAAAACAGTGACTTTTAAAAGTCATTGGAATTTCAGAAATGTTGAATTGTCTAAATTTAGTCGTATGGGTCTATTTTTGATGTCTAGACAGACTCCTACCGTATTCCTATACCGCGAACTTGAAAGAATACATCACGTCAACTAATTTTCAAAAAACAGAGTTCATTATATAGACAATTCCCTAAACTTTGCACCATGTGATCAGGAGGAATTGTCCAAATTGAAAAGTTGGAACGGTTGATTGTTATCCATTCTTTGTGGTCATAACAGGGCGCATGGTTGGCACGACGCAAACAACGCAAAGTAGATCAAAACTCAGTCCAATCACATTGTGATCACTATTTAGCAGATCTATAGGTCATGTGGAGCCATAACGGGCAAAAAATGAGTGACGACTATTTTGTTTTTTTTTTCTTGCTGCAAATAAACCCAATATATTATTTCCTCTAAACTCCTTTCCGCAAAAATAAGATAAGAGACAATCAGCTGGTCAGTGCGTTTCAAGGTTGAAAAAACAACAACACAAGACTTGGGATACGAAGACTGAGATACTGTTGATTTTCAATTGACTCCACCCTAGAAACACGATGGAAAAGATATTCAAAGATCTTGAAATTATAATTGCACGTGCAACAGCGCAAGATGTAGGGAGAAGTTGTTGATATCTATTACGTATAACTGTTATAAAAATAGATCATCCGGTCTTTTTTGGTTCCTATCGTTTCCTCCTGATTCCTCAATTAGGTGGGGTCTTTTGTCTTTTATATCTCGGAGATCGAAATTGGAATTAGTCTTGTTTTGATATTTTTTTATTGATGTGAATGAGGTGGAAAGGGATGTATGTTTGCAATATGTTTTGTTGGTCGTTTCAAAATTAACTTTGAGTTTACAAGATACAAAAATTCAAAGCAAGTAAAAACATATTAATTCCTATTTAGAACAAGTTTTAAATCAGAGGTGTGCCAGGAGTTCAATGGTGCTCCAAAAATTGGTTCCCAGGAATTCAATTTTTCATAAGTTGATACAATTTATAGCTACCTTAATATCAACTCTTCAATATTTTGAACCAAAGCTGCCGAAAAGAGGTTGCGGCTTTTTGCTTACGGTACTCCTGTGATAAGTAGGATTTGGCGGTGTAGGGGTACTAGAAGTTTCTGGAGGGCTGAGCTCATTTCCGAAAGAACGATCAGTTTGGTTCATGGCGAACTACCGAGTTGGCAGCCGGCCGTGGCCCTGATTTTGACAGCCTTGTCTTGAACCCATCACTGAACCATGACCCTGTTTCCATCAAAAGTACATCAATCGTACTGAACATAATTTTAGAACTGAGGTCATCAAAATATGAATGAAAACACATGACTTCCTAGAGTCAGAAACCACGAAAACTTGATCTACCACCACTACTGTTACGTCAAGAAGTTAGTGTTCCTACATTGGAGTAGTCCTATTTAAAGAGAAAGTTCGCTCTGCCGTAATTGAATTTTGATTATTTACAACAAAATAACCAGGAAGCACTGTTGTTATTGTTGATATGTTTTCTAGTGTTCAGTTAGCAGTAGCAGAAAAAAAATAGAAATTCAATGGTTAATTTTTGTCTGGCCCGGGTCAGTCAACTAATCATTCAAAACACAACAGACAACAAGAATAAGAAGCCATAGCATTGAAATATGGTCTCTGGCCCAATGACCATCCTGTATCCAAGCTAATTGCAAAAAGAAGAATTAGACGATGATGATGTGTGAGAAAAATAACAGATGTTGAGTGAAAAGTGACGTAGAATTCGGAGGACATGGCCCATCAATCAAAAACAATATACAGAGACGCAGAGATCAGAATTCATATGTAGTTGATTAAACGATTCTGAACTCTCAAAGACTAAAGCCTAAAAATAACCACGTGTAAATGTTTGTAATGTGATATCACAGAATGTGTGAAGTCTATCGAAAAAACGCAAAGAATACGGAATTCGTGTCTTTTCCCCACACTTTTTTCCGGAACGATATAATCGTCAAATTTTTAACTGCTATAATCCTCTTACTCGTCTTCCCGCAAACGTCAATATGTGCCCTAAAACTGAAACTTATTCATACTTACGAACTTATGAAAGTGTGGGTGTGACGTAAAAATGAGTAGTTGTGGCTGAGAAACTTTGTGTGTTTTGTGGTGACCGTTTACTCTTTTTGGACGATTGATCTTCCGGTCGTTTCTATTTCTGGATGGGGTTGACCTCCCAACCACAACAATCAAAACGATGACTAATCGAAATTCATGGAGCCAACTCTTTTCCGGAGTATTAGAGAGACATAGGGAAAGAGAACAATCGGGAATGTCAGGAATTTAAGGGTAAAATGTTTGTGTGTATGTGTAGGTGGGCTTCATAACGTAGTGATTTCGTAAATTAAAGTGTCAATTTTATGTGATTCGTAGGTCTGACTTGAAAACTGAATCATCACAAAAAAAAGTGATGAAAGGATCCGGAAAGTTCGACAGATGGTTACAGTTGTGTTTTCAATTTCAGAGTTACTTCCATCCTAACCTGAAACAGGGACTTGCTGTAGACGATTTTCGTATCATATACATATAAGGTTTTCCAACTTTTGCTGGGCTCTTGTCCCTAGCGATTAGCCTAATTTACGCCGAAGTAAAGGCTTGAAAAAGGCTCCCAATGTTTATTTTCGCGTACATCGTTATTCTTCCACATACATTTTAGGATCTTATTTCACGAACGTCAGCAAAGATCACAGGTTCTGAAAATCAGAATGAAAAGAATGGATTTATTTTGTTGTGGCTCTCTTATGATTGGAAATTTGAGTGGTTAAAGCTTTTTTTCGCATATTGGTATAAATAATCCCGAATTTAGATAACTGTGTTTTTCTTCTTTATCTTTTTTCAGTACAAAAACATAACTGAATGACGGACGTTCGGGGGAACACCTCCGCTGGTCATTGGACATTCTGATTTCTCATACAGACATACTCATCCTAAAATCCAATCTAGATAAAACGAAGATAAGATTTTTAGAAGATCCGTTTTGGGTATTCTAGATCTCTGATTTTGTGGCATAATGAATTTTGTATAGTTGGGAAATTGTAGCACCACTATTTTGACTTCAGGAAAGGATTATACAATTTTATAAAAACAAAAAATCCTGCTTAATTAATTGTAGTCCACGAAATAATATATGTTGTCTGGACAAATATCTATTCAATGTGAGTTTTGAGTTTCAATTCCTTGTTCAAATAAATGAAATCTAAAAATCACATTTCGGAAGGGAAGGTGGAATCTAATTGAAGATGCAATACAGTAACTTGCAAAATAGAAATTGCACAGGGCCACCGAATCAGAGATGGCCTTTTCGGAATTTCGGAATATTTCGAGTTTAAAAATTACGAAACTTCGGGGTTTCGGGAATTGTTAGCATTCAAAACTTTGAACTAGAAAACCAATTTTCCTATCGGAAAAGCTCGAAAAAATGGTGAAATACTTCGAAAGCGTAATAAAAAAAAATGAATTTCGCTCAAGACCAGCAAGAAAAATTTTCGTATGTGCCTAAGACATACCGTAGTCCGAAAAGCTTTCATTCCGAAAAAAAAACTTTGGAAATATTTCAAAAAAAAAGCTTCGGAAATAATAGAATTTCATTCCGAAAATGATCAGAACCTTACTAAACCTTTTTGGTTCGAAGTTCCGTTCCAAACAGCTCCTGCTCCCAATAATTCCAAGATGCCTTGTCCCGTAATTTAGGTTCGGAATACAATAACTTTGACCATTTACAAAAGGAAAAGTATGAATGGAATTCCAAGGCTACAACCATTCATTTAATGACCTCTCCTGAGTCATCAGTGAACATCTGAAGCATCATTTTATTGCCAAACAAACTCTAAAGTGTTACAGCCCCAATAGAACACTCGAGAATTGTTACACATCTTTTTTGCCTCTGCTTCTAAAAAAAATCTTTTGTTGCGTACGTTCCATTGCAGGGTGGGGTCATCAAACTGTAAGATGAAGTCGATGAAGCATGTGACTAATCAGAAGCTGTTATTCTTTCTTCAACACTTACGCCACCAAATGCCGTCACGAATGTTTCCTTTTTCAGGGGGTGAACATCCAAATAAGGTCTTAAACCAGGCAGGGTGTCTTAGAGTTAAAGTGTGCAAAAGATGATCTCACTGAAAAATAAAAAAACAAATAGATAGAATTCTTCCAGAAAACAGTTTGAATCTCTCAAATTTCATGTTTTCATTGGGAATTAGATTTAGATTTACGCTTGTTTTTTTTTCCAGAATGAATCCGGATGATAGTCAACTGATGGTATGTGCCCAACGACCGTCACATAGAAAGTCATACACAGGGTAACGGCTGCGCATGGTATATGTCTAGGCGCGCATATAGGATGCTATGTGCACCCATAATAATTCTGTGGGTAGCGCGTGCGCGCTATATGCGTCGTCGACAAGGATATTGATGGTGATGCGGGATCAACTATATTCAGAAATTTTAACGATGATCTGCTGATCTGAAATGTGCCACAACCTACTGTAACCCAAAGAACCAACTGCCGTACATGGGTCATTTTCAATTTTGGTTCTTTGATCAAATCAACCAATTTCAATTCAGTAACTTTCTATCTTTTCACTTTCCCAGAAAATTTATAGTTTCACTGCAGAATGAAAAAAAGAAACCCGTTTAGCTATCCACGCCTATCATCTATCTTCTTGTTCTCTGTCAACTGTTTTGTGACCCGTGAACGTATACACAAAAGCAGCTGGAATGGGAAATCAAGTTACAAAAAAGAGAGTTCTAGTCAGGGTACAATTTAGGTTCGGAACCTAAAAACATAAACAAACATGTTTTTCAGCCTGGTTTTTCCAGCTTATAGTTTTCAAATGACTGCGGAAACGATTGGATGATTGGAATATTTCAATCGAACTTTTTGCAGTGTTTAATTTTGAAATAAAGAAACCTACTACCGTATACCAAATGTTTGCTTAAAATAGAATGCGGAATTTCTCTGAATTGACGTTAATGGTAGCAAATATAATGGGTGCAAAGTTGACTCGAACCGGTGATAACAGTGTCTTCGCGGTTTTTACGACTCCGTTTTTATTGGTTTCGCCAAGAAAACCGGCGAAACATAGAATAGAAAGAGGGAACTGAACAATTCGATCGGCATGCTCTCAACGTGTTTGTATTGGCATGTTCTCTGATCTTGGAAATTGGAAAATTGAGGAGAGTCTAATGTAGTTTGGATGACAATTTATTTATTATAGAATACTGTATGGCTTACTTGGGAACTAAAAACAATTAAATGGATGTGTCAAAGAACTAAATGATAACAACGCATTTTGATATCATGATCCGGAAGTTTCCGTAATGATTTATCATTTCTATTTCTCTACCAGAATACTCACGAAGTCCTGAAAGTTGAAATAAAATCAACGGAAACTGGAATGACATCATGTACAATAACAACGGTACTTGGGAGTGGCATCTAGACTTATCGACGCCTGGCATTACCTACAGTCGCCAGTGATGGTATGAACGGAAGTCATCACATATAGTTTCTAGAATAGTTACACACATGGTGCATTATGATGCAAACGGAGGGACGATGGCATACAAGTGTCACCGTTTTCCGGGTGTTTCTTCTCATCTTTTTACTCAATTACGTAAGGGGTCAGTTCGGAGAGAAGATGGTTGCAATTTGAATTTGATCTGAAAATCAAACAACGGAAGTTTTCACCTTTGATCAGGTTGAAGAAGGAGGCAGTGAGAGACTGAAAGAGGTACATGAAAGGAGTTATGGTTATGGTAGAATGAAAGAGGTTAGTTGCACGATTGGATGAACTTCAGAGATCTCAAAAGAAAATTACCGTATCTTTTCTAATAGTTCCAGGTTTATTATATCTCTCCTTTATGACACGTCCAAAGTTCACAAGTTTACGATTTCTGGGCCAAGAAAGCAGTCCAAAGGGACGCCCAGATTCCCAAGATTTCCATTTTGCAGTTTAAACCATTGAAACAGTACACTCCGAGCCCGTCGAAAAAAACACATTTTTACAGAAAACAACTTTTTAAAACTCTTCGTCAAATGGTATTAATTCATGCTGGTCTCGACGCGACAGAGATGTTCTGCCACACTGGATTCAACTGTGCGAATTGGAAATCTTGGGAATCTGGGCGTCACTGTGGACTGACAGAATAACTATAATTTCTCAACCGAAAACTTGATACCGGTTTCGCATAATTCCTGAACTTTCAGGATCTAAACCAGTACCGGACAGCTAGAACGTGTTCTCATGACGGCCCCCCTTATCATGATAGTTTCCATTTTAAGTAAATTTTTCAACCCAATTTTTTGTTTCGAATATCATAACCATTTACCTGTTTGTGTTTAGTGACCCTTGCAGAAGTTATCTGTTCGTCAAGTTCGAAGACAGACAATAACAGATAGGCTTTTCTCGACCGAGATGCATCTGAAAGAACCCATAAATCTTCGGGCCAACCTTGACACTTTGACTCATTGTATTATCTCAATTGTCTTCTAAAAAAATTAAGAAAAAGTTCGACTTTAACCTCAATCGCCCCACCCGAAAACGATGAGAAAAAGAAGAGAAAACTTCACGCCACTTTCCAATGTTCTATGAATTCCATGTTAAAGTTCATAGTGAATTTTCTCTCCTATTCATGCTTTCTTCAGTGTCTCCCTGATAACACATTTGAAACTTGCTGATAAGGAGCGTAGGCGAAAGACGCTGAGCTATCAAACTTCTGGAAACACCGATTTTCCGTGGAAATTATGATGCGCTTTGTGTGTTTAGTGTTACTGATAGAGACGAAGTGTCTACGAGTTATTAGTTTCGTTGAAATTGGCTGGTGATAAACGGGTACAACATGGTCATTGATATGTGACGGTATGAAGGAAAAGAAAAAAAAATACAAGGGGGAAGTAGAATTTGAACTTATTGGAGAGTAAATGTCTGAAAAACAAAAAGGGGCCGAATATGAGGAAGTTGTTAATACTGTTACAATGCGGAAATGGAAGTTAAATTAAATGCGAAAATCCTACTTAAAAAAACGAAATGGTTTAGGACAAATCAAACGATCAGCCAATGAAACTACATCGAATGTATACAAATTCTGTATGGACTAGTGTATTTGTTTTATCCTAGCAGTTGTCTTAATAAAACTTATGAACCAGAATCTGAAGTCAGCGCACCATGAAACCTGTAATAGAAGGGCCCGATAACTTTTAACTTTAAGCCAATATTTCTTGGTTCCTCTCAAAGGTATTTGAAAATATCCAACTGAAAAAACTATTTATCATAATATCAAAAGTATTTTGTCCGCTGGCACAATCGATCTCTCACAGGAATTGAGATTATTGAGCTCCAACTTGACAGCGTGGGGGCCTTGTATTACAGGGTTTACGGTCACCTAAGGTTTTTCTGAAAACATGCAAACATTTTCATTGGTTTACAGAATCCTTGCACATTCGATATTTTCATCCATTTCCTTAAACACCAAACTCAATCACTTTATGCGTTGCTCAATCTCCTAGATCCATAATCTTGCTTTTTTTGAGAATTCAAAACCTTCAAAATCACTTCAAAATCTGGACACATCTACCGTATTTCTTTTTTGAACACCAAGGACTTAGAAATTTGGTAGTCATCACATTAGTGAGCTCTAACATCCATATCGGGGATCGCCCCCTAGTAGCTGCAATTGAGATTTTTTGTGGGTGAAAACTCTCTGCAAAAATCGGATAGAGGTAAATACCGGAAAAACAGAAGGAAAGCCAAAAAAGAACAGAGGGAAAAACAAACACGTTCCTGGGTGTTTTCTTGATATTTTTGTGATTAGTCACATATCCTCTCCGGGTACTGTAGACCCCTCAACACACCCAATATCTTTGATTTCTCTCATTTCCTCTACACAGACAAAAAAGGGGTTTCCCCGTTTATGTGAACAACGAAATATTTCGAAATTCTTGATAAGAGAGATGGGTGCGAAGAGAAAGATGATGAGAGAAAAACTGTGATACAAAATGAAGAATATGTGTTTTGTGATAAATAAAAAAAAGAAGCTACTGTCATTTATTTTGATGATATTCATTTGGAATTTGTGATGGGGACTTCTGTGACATTGTGATGATGATGAGGGAAAAATGACAATCTATAAACTACAAAATACAAACAAATCGAGAAAATACAGCAGGGAAACTATGAAACCTATTAAGGGTGAGAATGACAGACACTTTTCACCAAAATACAGTACATGTCAATAGGATATACAAAAACGTATTTTCAGTTCACTTTTGGCTATTTTCAAGAGTCTGGAGCTCGACTGTCAAGTTTTCGATCACTTTGAAAATTTTGGAACAAGCCTAATTTAAAAACTTTGCATTCACAGACTTTTTCGAAAACTCCAAGTTTTTCAGATTTTTTCAAATTTCTGAAAGACACCTGTTTTTTCACGTTTTCAGTACAAAAAGTGGCAAAAAGGGGTGCCTTTCAGAAATATGCATAAAGCTGGAAAACTAGGCATTTTTACAAAATTCTCTGAATGCAAAGTTTTCCATCTAAGAGACATCCCATCTCTAGACTCCTAAAAATGGTCAAAATTTAATTCAAAAAAACTCACAATCTAAAACATTAGAAAGTATATATAGAGTTTAGATTGACACGATTAACAGATTAATACTGAGATTTTGTATAGCTTGAAACCATTATCTTGATGAATTTGGCTACATCGTATTGGAAGTTCAGCTATATGGATTCTGCTAAAGATTAAATACTTCTCAAAAATACATTTGAATACCAGCGATCTTTTAAACACTTGTCCAAGGACCAGGCCTTGATTTTCCAAATATGGTTTTTTTCCATCCTCAATCAGTGATTATTGTGGTTTGACCTAATTTCTGAGCAAGTTGAAAAACTGAACGACCTCCAAAATCTAAACAACAACAACACTATGAACCTCCGATTTCCATCTCAATAACCATCCCAAACTTCAATGACCGCTCTCTGATTTCTCAACAACAAACGCACGTAGTTTTGAGTTTTCTTGAAACGGAAAATCAAATCAAACTCTATAAAACTGTCTCTGCCCATTATTTTATTTAAAAACAAAACGTGTCTTTTGATAATCTGATAACTGAAGTGTCGTTGAAACGCTTATCGAGAAGAGTGGAGCGATGGGGGTTGGGGTACTGTATCAGCCTTGTTCTTCGGATGATACTGAAGGTTTCACGTGAAAACCATCCGTTTAAGTTGTTGTTTATCTTTCAGAAACAAGGAAAATAAACTGTGGCCTTCCGGTTGTTTGATCAAGAGATTGAACGAGTTTGGGGTTGCTTAACGTACGTTGTTGGTGTTGGGATGCAATAAAACAACATAATTTCTGAATTTTTTGCTTTTAAGTTTCAGAAATAAATAAAAATATTTCTGAATTTCTGAATCTCCAAAACTAACGAAACTGGTTGCAGCTAAAATTATTCCTGAAAGCAAGAAAACAGAAAAAACGAAAAAATAATAAGAAGAAGTTTTTTATTGAGTTCACCACAAACTATAAAACAGCTTCAGTTTCAAGCCTTTGGTGGCTCAGCAGATCCGAACAATCCGTAGACGAGTGCCTTCGAGAAGAGGAACGAGGCGACGAGGAGGATTTGATACATGTGGATCTGTAATTATAGGTTAAATTAATTAAGCACATATCTTAAACTCACTCTGCTTGGAGCATTCAAATTCTTGAAGGCAATCTGAAGAAGTGCTCCAGAAGCGGCACTGTAGAGGGCACTCAACAAGAAGTACGAGAAAGTGAGAGATCCCGAGACGAGTCCAAACACGAATTGAGCGGCGAACGAGGCTCCGACGGCTCCTCCGAGAAGTGGGACATGGGCGGTTCCGACTTGACCAGCAACCAATGGATAAGCGAAAGCAATAACCAATGGAGTGATGAATCCAAGTGGTTGGCCGGACACATAAGTGTATGATATGGCATGTCCCATCAAAACTCCTTGGGTGAGAGCCAGAAGGAGAAGTTGGAAACGGGTCGCCGATGTGGATCCATCCTCAGCATTTAATTGATAAGCAGCGAGGCCTGGGAGCACAAGAGTAGCCAGAATAGCTGCTCCGGCTCTTCCAATGAAGATTCCGAAGATTGGAGAGAGCAAATAGCCACCGACAATGCTGGCGATGCCGGCACCAAGAAGAAGGATTGAAGACCATCCGAAAATCTCGACAACCGATGAAGTTGGAAGTCCGATTGGGGATTGAGTCTCTTGAAGAGCAGAGATCAACTCCTGGGTTTGTGGTTGGATTTGCGATTGGAGTTGTTGGAGTTGGGCAGGTCCTTCTTGTTGGAGGACAGCAGCACGTTGACGGATTCCTGAAATAAATGTAAGAAGTAAAAAAATGATGTGACATGGGGCTATTGAAAGCATCTGTCAATAGGAGTATCCCTTCGATTACTCACCTTCGGCGGCCTGCTGGATATCCTGAACATAATTGGCGTAGGTCTTTGTGACAAACGCAATTGATGCATCCTGTTGTCCATCGGTTGCTCCCATTTGCGATGGAGCGGTTCCTCCGGCTCCGGCGTCAGCTGGTGGTGCAGCAACGGTTCCTTCCTGTGGTGGTGGTGGAGCAGCTTCCGCGGGGACAGCTCCGGCTCCCTCCATTGGTGGTTGTTGTCCTCCGTCGGCCATTTCTCTTCTTTTATCTGAGGTTCACTAAATTGGCGGTTGGTATTGGATTTGTGCGCGGCACCGAGTGCTGAAATTATGCAGTTATAGCTTTCTTAGAAAATAGAGAGTTGGTCTACCTGAAGTTTTCCAACTCGGGTCGAGTAAGAATCAAATATTGAGGGTTCTTCTGAAACGTTTCTCCTTATATAGCCACAAAATGTGCAGATTTGGAGCAAAGATAAGGATGCACGTGGATGATGACATCCTTTTTTTCTCTTCTACGTGTACAAAGTTCGCGTTTTCTACGTAAACCATGTTCACGTTTTAATAGTGTATTGGTTAATAGGGTTCTGACCTATTTGTATGAATTCCATATTTTGAATTCCATATTCTCTTGGTTTCTATCTTTACTATTAACAATCACCAAATTCTGTGTGTGTGTGTGTGTGTGTCCGGTGTTCCCGGTTCCGGGACCCTAGCGAAGTCATCACTGGACCAAAATTTCCCAAATTTTCGCAGATGATCCGAAATAGCAGCGAGATGATGTCCGTCTATTTTTATATGTAAAATTTTGCTTCTGACGTCTTCTGGAGACGTTCTTCTATTTTTAAAGTACAAGTCTTCAGAAATTATATTTACGTCATTCCCGCTCAACTCTATTTTTTTCTTATCCTCGTTATATCAGACGAAAAGATGATTTTGTGCGAATATTGGTTCAGTCTGAGTTCTGAAGATTTGAAAGGAAGAAAAATTATGATAAGAAATCTGAGAAAAAGACAAGCTCCCTAGACCAATACAAACTCGTTTAATGTAGTCTTTGAATTTCTTAGGCTTTAAGTTTTAAGAAATCAAAATATTTCGAACTTTAAGAAATCAAAATCTTTCAGTGGTTTTGAATTTCCAAACTTTGCAAAATTTTTAAATGCTGAAACTATAGAAACCTGGATCTTTGAAATAATAAGTTTCCAAATTCCAAAATGTTAAAATGTGTAAATTTTCGGATTCCCAATTTCTGAGTACTCGAGCACTTCAATTTCCAAATATTTGATTACCTGAATTTCTGAGTTTTTGAATTTCGGAAAATCCTAATTTCGAAATTCGGAAATTCAAAAAATCTCAAATATTTATCATTTTGAAAATAACAACAAATTAGGAATTCATGAATGCTGAAATGCAGAAATTCGAAAACTCGGAAATTCGCGAAATTCGAGAATTCTGAAGTTCAGAAAGGCAGAATCTCAAAAAAAAATCAGAAACCCAGAAATTCAGAAATTAAGAGTTTCAAAAATTAAAATTTCTTAAAGGGGGACTCCGACCAAAAAATTTTATTGCATTAAAATGTTTCAAAAAATAAGTATGTTTCTAATATCATGGCGAAAAATTTCGAAAAAAACCCTAAATCCCCGAAAAACGGCGTTGAAAAAAAAGGATTTGAATTCCCGCGCAGTGAGAAATCTAGGCCACGGCATCATAGCGCCTTTCTTAGATGGAAGTTTTTCCGAATTTTTTCGGTTTTCACGTCCGGCAGGTAAAAAACGTAAAAAAAACCACTGTCGGCCACTTGAAAAAAAAAACGGCAGTCAGGCGCCGTGGCCTAGGTTTTTCACTGCGCGGGAATTCAAATACTCGTCCTTCCTAACAACTTTTTTTGAAAATGTTTCGCTTTTAACGGTATTTTTCGGGGATTTCGGATTTTTTTTTGAATTTTTTCGCTATAATATTGGGAAAATAGACAACTTTTCGAACACTTTAATGCAATAAAAAATTTTGGTCGGATTCCCCCTTTAAGTTAAGTTCTTGCATTTCAGAAAATCCAAATTTGGTAATTCGGAAATTCGAAAAACCGAAAATCAAAACTTCAGAATCTCAAAAAAAAAATCAGAAATTCAGAATTTCAGCACTTCAGAAACTCAGAAATTTGGAATTTCAAAAAAATCAGAATTTCTGAATCATGAATCTCTTAATGTCAATATTTCTGGATTGCCGAATTTCTGATTTCTTGAAATTCTGAATTTCTGAACTTCCGAATTTCTCAATTTCTCAATTTCTCAATTTCTCGATTTCTGAACTACTGAATTTCTGAACTTCCCAACTTTCAAAATTAATTTTCAAATTCTTAATTTTCAAATTTGTGAGCATAGACCCTAAAAAATAGCCTCCGTAAAAGTGACGGAACCTTTTTATAAGATTGCGGGTATCGTAAGCGGGGGCCAGGAGGTTTAGCCCCGAAGGGGCGTAAACCGACTGGTATTATTACATTTCTAATTTTCACATAGTTATTTTTTCTGAACTCATCAGCAACTACTATGTTCTCTTTATTATAATCTTACCATCATAAAAGAGGGTATTGTATGACAAGGTGTCCCTTTCTAGCGTGTCAAATTGGACACATTCGATATCTCCTAGACTTCTTCTAAAAACAAGAATTGATGTCAGAAGTATCTTTCCTAGAATCTTGGAATTCCCGAATCTACCGTAGCCCACCATTCCCCGGGATTCCGAGGGCTGTTTTTTAAAAAACTTCTACACTATTCATCAGATGCAATTTAGGATTAAGAACAGTTTCATGTTGGTCTTCTGATTATTCTTCTTGAATTACCATAAAAACTGTAATAACTTTTTACTTTTCACTTTGAGTCAATATTTCTAATTTCCTGTTAAAGATATAACAAAGTGGTCAACTAATAAATTGTTTATCATAACATCAGAAGTGTTTCGTCAGTTGACACATTTTTGATATATTGCATAGAAATTGTGATAATTGAGCTCAAACTTGACTGTCTGTGTGTGTGGGGGGGGGGGGGGGGTTTCTATTACAGGTTTTACAGTATTATCAATTTTTCCATCTGATGCCCCTCCTCTATAAATACATACTATCACAATTTTTTTGCTATCTATTCTCATCTATTTCGAACAGAAATCAGGAAGTGATGTTGTCAGGGTATAAATTTTTATTCTGTATTTTTGTAATTATATGTTGGTACTGATAGTAATAGGAATGCTTCAATAAAGTCTAAAAATCAGGTATCAGGTGAGAAGCACCACCAAGATTCTTCCTATCATTTCTCAGGTTCATTATTTGACCTAAATCGTTTTTTCTCTATTTTCGAAAATGCGAGTCATCGTCCCCTAGGTGTCATGTATGAGGAGACATAAATGCATGATGTCCCCTTGTTGTCAAAACAAACAGGTAATCTAGTCGGATTTTTTTCTCTGTCTGCTGTCCAACTGCTCTCAGCCGTTTGTCACAGCGTCTGGCAGAAAAATATATAACTTCTATTCTATCATCGAAATAGATTATCTGCATAGACAATCATCTGCTTAAAACTTGTTCCAAATCACACAGTTGTCTAGTACTTGCAAATGCTCAATTTATCTTTACCGTATCTGAATCAGATACTTCCTCGATGACCCCGTTTGCAATTGCAATTGTATTTCAGTAACTCGCACATTTGGCCTCTGAACTCCAGTTATTTGAAACGTCCCCCTGATGTTATGTGAGAAGGGACAAGTCAGGGCGCGATGTCCCCTTTCTGTCGTGAGAAAAGGGACATGTCATGGAGCGATGTCCCCTTTGTATCAGGACAAATAGAAAATGTAGGCAAGATTGATTTTCTTTTTCCGCTGTCCATCTGCTCTCACCACCTATTCACAACGGGTGGCAGAGAAGAATATCTCAGTTTTTTGTGTTTTGGTCTCATCTGGTTCCTGTATCGTAATCATCTTCATGTTTATTGAATTGGTTTTTATTGTTTTGTGAACTACTTTAATAGTTCCAAACTCAGTTACTGGCTCCAACAGTGCAGTGATTGGTTTGCTTTCCTAACATTTCTGCTCATCTGAATTCATCAATGTCCTTTTCTTCGCCTTACTGTATCACACATCTCACTACAATCCACCATACCCCATTTCCACTCAAATGATGGTTAGTAGTGATTCTCCGAATTTCTAAAAGCTGTGCGTTTTGAGCTTTTTTTGCAAGAGTTTTTTTTTCATTCTATTTCTCATTGATGACCCGGATGCTCCTTGCTGGTTACCTAAATTTTCGTTTTGGATTCATTCCATATTTTCCCCATTTGTTGGCCTTCCTCGATTTTCCCCTTATTAGAATGGGTCTGTTGTTAGGTCATGTTCCCCCTGCGAGATTGGATCTTTATGTTCACAGTCATGTCCAAACAGATTGAGAGAACGCGCGAAGACATTTCATTCGAATGCCCTCTTCTCTCGTTTCTCTGTGTCTCTAACCTCGAGCCGTGTCCCCGTTTTTTTTTTTTTGGATGTCCCCGCCGTGTCGCGGCAAATGGGACAGCTGGGGGACAATTGACTGTCCCCGAGTGGTTTCGAATTCAATTCGATTGAATACAAGTTTTAAATACTGTTTTCTACCAGTCGATGGCCTACTTTGTAGTTTAGGTGTCATTTTAGGCCTTAACTGAAATTATTCTGAACGCCTAATAGATCAATCATGATAAAAATTAGACCAGCTTTTAAATTTTCATACAGTATTGTCTTTTTTACACTAATGTTTTTACATTGTGTTCTTCTAATGTTTCCGAGTCATTCGTTAATCTATAATATTTTCATATGTACAAGAAAAAAATTTTTCTGCTTCCGTTTAAGTCGATGCTACCACAAATATTTAGTTCTTTATTTTCGGTTTAACTGGGAAAATTCAACTCTTCCTTAGTCAATAAATTATAGTCTCTAGTCCTACCAGACCGTACAAATCCGCAAGAATTGAAATCCGCAAGAAACGAAAGCGCAAGAAACGAATCGGCAAGAACGCTAAACCGTGCAGAGTTTTGCTGAATTCGCGTGCGCAGGCTGCAAGAAAGGGCGGGATTTACCTGGACTGAATGAGAGTACGGTCTCAAATGTACGGTACGGTCTCAAATCCTCATCTTCCATTTCCTCGTCAGTCATGACGTCTCGTACGCAATTTGTCGTCAGTGTGTTCGCAGACATCTAGCATTTTCAAATTTTTTTTTCACCTCGACACCTAAATAAATTTACATATTTGGAGTTTTTTGCAAGTTTCCTCCATATTAATGTTGCTCAGCTGATTGCTTTCTTCTTTCTTCCTTATTTGCGTTCCTAACTGCTTTTTTTAAAAAATACAAAACTGATTTTCAGGAAATCTATATTCCTATATCGAACACCTAACAATTATGTCTGCCGAAGAGGACACCACTATTGTGGAGGATGAATCTATGGAGGAAGGTTCCGTGACTCAAGAGGCAACCGAAGAAACTGAAGAGGAAGAAGATCAAGACCAGGGGGACGAAGCTGGTCCATCCGATCGGAGAAGATCTTCTCGTAAGAAGGGTGGAAAAGGTGCGAAGAAGGCTTCAAAGAAGGCCGCTGCTGCAGCTGCTAAAGCTGAAATTCCGGATCCCTACACTGCGAGTAGCGAGGAAGTCTGTGCAGCTATTGGATTGACTGATGTGCAGTTCGACTATGATCTGGAAGAGTTTCAAGGAATCACGAATCTCAAGGTAAGTATTGTGAGAAACTAGTCGTTGATTCCGGGAAGAAACGAGTAACTAGTTTTTACATTCTCATTACAGAACTTCTCTGCTGTCGTTAAAGCGCAAATACTCGAGGCTAATCCGGGAACGAATGTTTCGAAATTGTATCCAATGTACCAAGTGAAATACAAGGAGTATCAAGATCATATGACTGCTCAAGGAAAACCAGTCCAGAAACAGCAGAGAGGAAGCAAAACTCCAGCGGTGGCTACTCCAGTCGCGCCACCTAGAAGTGCTCCAACAAAAACTCGTTCTGCTAGAAAGAAGCGTCGTGATTCCGAGGCACCGGACAGTGATCAAGAATTCGAGAACTTCATAAAGCAGCAAGAACAGCTTGAAGATGACAAAGTCAAAGAGAAGGAGGATGCTAAAGTGAAAAGAGCTGTTCAAAAGCAGGAGAAGAAGAAGGAAGCTTTGGAAGCAGCTCGTGCTGCCAAAAAGGCCAAACTCGAACAAGGGGAAGAGGTTGAGAACAACGATTTCTGTGAGACTTGCAAAGTTGGAGGAGAGCTTGTTCTCTGTGATACATGCCCACGAGCCTATCACACGGGCTGTATGGATGAGGATCCGCCAGAAGGAGACTGGAGTTGTCCACACTGCATTGAGCACGGCCCAGAAGTCATCAAAGAGGAGCCTACCAAGCAGAACGATGATTTCTGTAAAATCTGCAAAGAGACCGAAAATCTTCTTCTCTGTGACAGTTGCGTTTGTGCTTTCCACGCGTATTGCATTGATCCACCTCTTACTCAAGTACCACAGGAAGAAACATGGGCTTGTCCTCGTTGCGAGTGTGTCAAACCCGAGCAAAAGTCTGAGAAAATTTTGTGTTGGCGCTGGAAGGAAATTTCGTACCCAGACCCTGTACCAGAGGGTACAGTGCCAACTGAAGATGATGCGTTGCTCAAACCTCCCCGTAAAATGGCACCACGACGAGAGCGCGAGTTCTTCATCAAATGGAAGTACTTGTCTTATTGGCAATGCTCCTGGGTCTCCGAAATGATGCTTGAAGTGCATTTCCGTATGGTGAGTTCTAATTTTGTTGATTTCGTATTTAATTGAGCTATTTTCAGCAATACATGATGTACTTCCGCAGGAATGACTCAGAAATCCCTCCAGAGTTCGAAGAGTCTACAGCATCCCGCCATCACTCGGATAATGACCCATACAAACTCCGTGAGAAGTACTATCAATTTGGTGTGAAGCCAGAATGGATGCAAATTCATCGTATCATCAACCATCAGTCTTATGCGAAGTCTCAACAAGATTATCTTGTCAAATGGAAGGAACTTTCTTATGACGCGGCTACCTGGGAACGAGATGATGCAGATATTGCCAACTATGAAGAGGCTATTATCAAGTACTGGCAACATCGTGAAAGAATGCTCAATGACGATGTGCCAAAGAATGTGCAGAAAATGATAGCAAAACATCGTGAAGCTAAAGGACTTCCACCGAAAGAGGAGGAGTCTAGAAGACCGAAGAAGCGTGAGAAGGTCGATATCCGAAAGAAGTACGATGTGCAGCCAGACTATGTCTCCGAAACCGGAGGAAATCTTCACCCATATCAGCTGGAAGGAATAAACTGGCTTCGCCATTGTTGGTCCAACGGAACGGATGCCATTCTTGCCGACGAAATGGGTCTCGGAAAGACTGTTCAGTCGCTTACATTTTTGTACACTCTCATGAAAGAAGGACATTGCAAGGGACCCTTCCTCATCGCTGCTCCACTCTCCACGATCATCAATTGGGAGCGTGAAGCTGAACAGTGGTGTCCAGATTTTTATGTGGTTACATACGTCGGAGACCGTGATTCCCGTGTTGTTCTTCGAGAACATGAGTTTTCATTTGTTGATGGAGCCGTCAGAACGGGTCCGAAAGCAGGAAGAATGAAGACTACTGATAACTTGAAATTCCATGTTTTGCTTACTTCCTACGAGACAATCAACATGGATAAAACTATACTTTCTTCCATTGAGTGGGGTGCATTGGTTGTGGACGAAGCTCATCGATTGAAGAACAACCAGTCGCTCTTCTTCAAAAATCTCAACGAGTACACTATTCACTATCGCGTTCTTCTGACCGGAACTCCGCTTCAGAACAATTTGGAGGAACTTTTCCATTTGCTGAATTTCTTGTCAAAAGAGCGTTTCAAGTAAGTATTGAATCTTCAAGCGTTAATTTATATATCTTATTTTCAGCCAACTTGAGGCTTTCACTGCTGAGTTCTCAGAGATTTCCAAAGAGGATCAAATCGAAAAGCTTCATAATCTCCTCGGACCTCACATGTTGCGTCGTTTGAAGGCTGATGTGTTGACTGGAATGCCATCCAAATCCGAATTGATCGTTCGTGTCGAGTTGAGTCAAATGCAAAAGAAGTGGTACAAGAACATTCTGACCCGTAATTTCGACGCTTTGAATGTGAAGAATGGTGGAACCCAAATGTCTCTTATGAACGTGCTCATGGAGCTTAAGAAGTGTTGTAACCACCCATACCTATTCGTCAAGGCATCGCTTGAAGCACCAAAAGAAAAGAACGGTATGTACGAGGGAACCGCTCTTATAAAGAATTCCGGAAAGTTCGTACTCCTTCAAAAAATGTTGAGAAAGCTTAAAGACACAGGACACAGAGTTCTTATATTCTCTCAAATGACTATGATGATGGACATATTGGAAGATTTCTGCGACGTTGAAGGCTACAAATATGAGAGAATCGACGGAAGTATCACTGGCCAAATGAGACAGGATGCTATTGATAGATACAATGCTCCAGGTGCTCAACAGTTCGTCTTCCTTCTCTCTACTCGTGCTGGAGGTCTCGGTATCAACTTGGCTACCGCCGATACTGTCATCATTTACGATTCGGATTGGAACCCTCACAACGATATCCAAGCTTTCTCTCGTGCCCATCGTCTTGGACAAAAACACAAAGTTATGATTTATCGTTTCGTAACAAAGAATTCAGTTGAAGAGAGAATCACCACTGTTGCCAAGAAGAAGATGCTTTTGAATCACTTGGTTGTACGTGCTGGATTGGGAGGCAAAGAAGGAAAGAGTATGAGTAAAACTGAACTAGATGATGTGCTCCGATGGGGAACTGAAGAGCTGTTCAAGGAAGACGAGGCCGTTGCTGAAGGTGCTGAAGGAGCCGAAGGTGCGGAGAAAAAGGGAACGACCCAAGAAATCGTTTGGGACGACGCTGCTGTCGATTTCCTTTTGGATCGTGACAAGAAGGAGGAGACAGGCCCAGGTCCTGAAGACGGTGAAGGAAAGGCTGATTGGCAGAATGAGTACCTCAGTTCATTCAAGGTTGCCAGTTATCAAACTAAGGAAGCCGAAGGACAAGAGGAGGAAGAGGAGGATGAGATAGAAGTGATGAAAGAAGGAGATGAGAAGGAACCTGATCCAGATTACTGGGAGAAGCTTCTGAAGCATCACTACGAACAAGACAAAGAGATTGAAGCTCAAAAGCTCGGAAAAGGAAAGCGTGTTCGAAAACAAATCAACTATGCTAGCGAGAACATGGGCACTGATTGGAGCAAGCAGGTATGTTATTCACTTTTTCATGGAAAACTGATACTTGAATCGAAATCTTTTTCAGAACCAACCTCAAGAAGATGACGATGACAACGAATCGTATCATGGGTCTGATAATGGCGACCCGTTGAACTCTGACGACGATGATTACGATGAAAAGCGAAAGAAACGTCGTGACGAAAATAACGAGAAAATGCCTCCACTCATGGCGAAAGTTAACGGCCAAGTCGAGATTCTGGGCTTCAATCCACGCCAGAGGAAGGCATTCTATGGGGCAGTGATGCGTTGGGGTATGCCACCACAGGACTCTCACCAATCTCAATGGCTGGTTCGCGATTTGAGAAACAAATCAGAGAAGGTGTTCCGCGCTTATGCATCACTCTTCATGCGTCACTTGTGCGAACCAGGAGCTGATGGACATGACACTTTTAACGATGGAGTGCCTAGAGAAGGGCTCAATCGCCAGCACGTTCTCGGACGTATTGGATTGTTGAGTCTAGTTCGCCGCAAAGTTAATGAGTTCGAAGATTTTAATGGCGCTTGGTCGATGCCGGAAGTTCAAGACGAGATTCTCTCTAAGGCTGCCAATGGATCTGCAGAAGAATCGTCTAGAAACTCACCAAAGCCCAAAGACGTTAAAGAGGAAGTTAAAGAAGAGAAAGAAGCAACACCGGTAACAACACAAGATGAGCCAATGGAGAAGACTGACGATGCCATGGAGAGCACATCTGAAGAGACACCAGATGCTGAAAAGACTTCTGAGAATACCGAAACTGCAGCCGAAGCTTCGGCCGAAGAACCCGTTCAAAAAGATGAGCCAATGGAAACTAATGCGCCAGTAGAGGAAGTGAAGGAGGAAGAAAAGAAGCCAAAAGCAGCTCGCCCACCATTCAAGTTTAATATCTGCGATGGAGGCTTCACAGAGCTCCATGCTTTGTGGACCAATGAAGAGAAAGTTGCTCGAAATGGAAGAGAGTACGAGATCTGGTATCGCCGACACGATTACTGGCTTTTGGCGGGAGTCATGCTTCACGGATATGGCAGATTCCAAGCTAACTTCAATGACATCATCAATGATCCAAAGTTCGCTATTCTGAACGAGCCATTCAAGGAGGCTGGTGCCGATGCGGTTATCTCAGCTGATCTCAAATCGAAATTCATGCAACGACGTTTCAAACTTCTTGAGCAATCACTTGTCATCGAGGAACAACTCCGCCGTGCCGCTCATGCAAATCGTCATCTTACACCAGACAACGTTGGACCACTGGCTCAACGTTTTGCTGATTTGGAGAATATTGCTGAATCACAGGCAAATATTGCAAAAGAAAGTGCTGCAGGAAACCGCAACGCCAATGCAGTTCTTCACAAATGCTTGGTCCAACTTGATGAGATTCTCTCTGATATGAAGTCCGATGTTTCTCGCCTACCGGCTACATTCACTCAGCTATCATCGGTTACTGAACGTTTGAATATGACAGAGAGACAGTGAGTTGATATTATCACCAATTACATTTTATCTTACCTTTTTCCAGAATTCTCTCTCGTTTGACCACTAAAGATGAAGATGCTAAAGCCGGTCGGACTCCAATTCCACCACCAGGACCATTTGTAACTCCAGTTCTTCGCCAACAAATGGATGGCATACAACCGAAGTTTGCCGCTCTTTACAGCAAATTCATGAGCGAAAACGGAGAAAGAATGGAAGAGGATGAGCCAGTTCAGGCTGAACCGGAAGATGTTCCAGTCAAAGAAGAGCAAGAAGATGGAGAAAACGCTGATGCTGGTGAAACTCCACCAGTATTGAGTGCAGGTATGTTAAACCAGTCAAAGTGTTTAAAATGATTTTATAAACTTCAGAAGACAACACCGAAGAAGGAGGCGAAACCGCATCACAAGCTGAACCAGAAGCAAATCAAGCCGTTGAACAAGAAGCCGAGGCTGAGCCAGAGCCTGAACCAATGGAGACTTAATACCCATTCCCAGCCACTTTTAACCCCATAAATCCCCTTTCTGTATTAATATTTATTTTCCCTTCTATATTTATCGATACTCCATATTTATTCATTAGCATATTTTAATGCCGCAATTCTGCACCGTTTATCTGTAAACATTTTATCACTGATGTCTTCGTTTTTCAAGGAATTTATACAACGTCATCGATGTCTTTTGACGACACCAGAATAGTGATTGTTTTATGACGAGTAGCCATTCTCTTCTGCCCACACTCTTCCTCTTCCTTGTTCCCTTGGCGAGTGGAACCATTAATCAAATACATAACAGCGCAGAAGACACATGGTTCCGGTGTGGCGATGAAGAGAACTTTAGATGTTCTTTGATGTCGTGATGGAATGATAGTTGGAATTGTAACCGACAGTTTTTAGGGTATGAAATCTGAAAGAAAAACAGTGAAGTATTCGTCACCACTTCCTTGTTTACAGGCTCGAGTGATATATTAAAAAATTCAGAACCGGATGAAAACTTGATTATGAACACATGACTAATTTCAGATATTGAAGTTTTCGGAAAGAATTCAGAAAGAAAAAACCAGTCAGAATCTGTCAGATGACTTCAAAACTAGCCCTTGATACCTATTACCGTACCAATTACTACAGTATCTGTCCGAAATCGAAAAGCATTTTAAGTTCATCTGAATTCGTTGTTTATGCTCTTCAATCATCCGCAATTTACAACATTCCTTTATTCATTCTTGCTGGATGTTGTGTTTCGAAAAAGACTCCAAAATCGATGGATTCAATGAAATGGGCATATTTTAATATGCATTTTTGGTTTGTTTCCATTTCTTCTAATAGAAGAGCACCCAAATCGTCAACCCTGAGCTCAGTTTTCTCTGTTCTTTCAAAAGATATAAACTATTTATCTTAAGATCACCAATATTTTATCAGTTGGCAATTTCTTATATCTTGCACAGGAATCGAGATAATTGAGCTCAAAGTTGTCGGAATGGGTGGGATTCTTTTAGTGGAATACGGTAGTTTTTGAAAAATGGAACTTTAGGATCAGTTGTCAAAGTTTAATGATAAGCACTCTGATGACCCCAATCAGTTGGCTTCCAACTGCATCTTCTTCTATGTTGGGTCTTTTTTCATTAGCTGGAGTTCCTCATACCGTACAATTTTATGCCGCCGGAATGGTTGGATGTTGTATGTGTTAAATTTCATTTTGAAACCAAAAATAAAGAAAGTTTCAGTATCCATGTCCGCGATGATATCTCTTTTCGAAAACCGACATAACGTCATTCAGAACAACAGATTCAGAATTTCAAAACAGCCGATTCGATTTTTGATAGTCGGAATCAACTATCTATTCGCTGTTGTTTATCCCATTCCGTTTCTTTTCGGATTACCAGACCAAGACTCTGCCAAGCTATCGATTCTTCAAACTATCGCTTGTCCATCTGAAGAATTCTTTCAACTTCCAGTTTTTACAATATCCATCAATCCAGAATTCAAAACATATGCTGCTATATCAATGTTCATTTGCACTGTTTTCATGATGTTTCAGCTCAAGTTCTACGCTTCTACCTGTATTTATTATCTTGTACTCTCGAAATCTAAAAACTCTTCTAAAGTGACAATTGATCGACAAAGAAAGTTTTTCTACGGAATTCTCATTCAAATCAGTATTCCTTATCTGTTTATGTTGCCAGCAATTGGCTACACTTGCTATTCAATATTCAGAAACTACTATAATCAAGGTAAATCTGAATCATGTGATGATGCTGCAAAATTTACTTCAGACTTGAACAATTTTTTCATTTTGTTTGCCAATTTCTATGGAACTGTTGCCACGTTTGCTCTACTTTTCAGTCATACTCCATATCGAGATTTCTTTCGGAAAGTTATCTGTTGGGAGAAAACAAAACCGATTGGCAAAATATCAACCAGTGGAAATAGACCAAGTGCTTTTATAAAGTAAATGTTCCCTGATTGTTTTCTCTGAATGCTGAAATAATCCAACAATAAAACAATTTTGCTGTTAAAATGTTCATTGATACGAAAACACATGAAATGCTTAAGCCTTGTAGGCACGAGCTGGGCATGGACAATATCCAGCATCTGGTCCTGGAGCAGCATCCTCTCCACGAACTCCTGGAGTTCCGTTCTTTCCTGGTGGTCCTGGTGGTCCTGGACGTCCAGCGTTTCCTGGCTTTCCAGACTCTCCATCGTTTCCTGGGGCTCCTGGTTGTCCAGCTGGTCCAGCCTCTCCACGTGGTCCTGGTGGTCCTGGACGTCCTGGTTGTCCTGGCTTGTACTCCGTTCCTGGCTCTCCACGTGGTCCTGGTGGTCCTGGTCTTCCGGCGTTTCCTGGACGTCCAGCATCTCCTCCCTCTCCTGGAGCTCCTGGTCCTCCTGGTGGTCCTGGTGGTCCCTTGCGTCCGTTGTCTCCAGATGGTCCAGCTGGTCCAACCTCTCCTGGTGGTCCACGTGGTCCTGGGCGTCCTGGTGGGCATTGAATGCAACCTCCTGGAAGATCGTGAACAATAGCGACGACCTCTCCGGCGAGTCCTGGCTTTCCATCGTCTCCGTCTGGTCCGGATTCTCCTTGTGGTCCTTGCTCTCCTGGAGTTCCTGGTGGTCCTGGTGGGCATCCCTCGGAACGTGGTCCACAGTTACATTGTTCTGGGAATCCAGATTGACGAGATCTACGAACTCCGAAGAGAGTTTGGAAGTTAGCTGGGGCATCAGTGGCTCCGGTTGGGTTGATGTGCTTGGTCATGACGCGGTTCCAGGTGTCTTGATGGATCTCCTGAAATTGGAAAGTTAATCAACTAGAAGTTAAAGCTGCCAACTTACTCTGAACTCCATCATGCCATCCTCAACTTCCGACTTCATGTCAGAAATCTCTTGAAGAAGAGATCCCATAATGAAGACGGTTACCAAACAGCAGGTGAGTGCGATCGAAGATCCGACCAGGATAAGCTTGCCCATGATTGACAATTGAAGACAAGAGTGATTTCCGTGGCATTGTCCTTCTCTTTTATACGGTTTGTGTAGGGTGTAACTTACCGTCTAACTGTCTCCACTGACTACCTATCCACCTATCCATCAACGTTTTTTCTTTCATCTTTTTTTCTGGAAATTACAAAATCTAAGTCTCCGGAAAATGAAGGTCATTTCGTTCAATTTTTCTCTTTTCGTTTACTATTTCGCTTTTTGTGAAAGTGTAACAACGAAACCAGTTTCTTTTAGATGTGAAAGGGAATGTAAGATGATAAGAACGGAAAGAGAAGAAACTTAATTAGAAAGTAAAGGTTTTGTGAACTGAACCAATCAAATCAAACACCATTGACGGAAAACGGTTGGTCAAGTGACTTCTGGTGTGAAAAAAATGAGATGCAGATAACCGAATCTTGATGCGAAAAAAAACGGAATACAGATATCTCAAGTATGCAGAAAATTCTAAAAAACATATATGGCGGTTTATGTTTGGCATCAATATGTAGTAGCGGAAGTTTAAGAACAATTCTCGCGGAAGAGAATTTCTGCAGATGAACCTATTTGCTGAAAGTACGGAAAAATAATTTTCTCGGAATCCGGAACGCGGAATTGGGAATTCGGAATACATTACTTTTCTCGAAATTCGGAAAACGGAATCCGGACAAATAAAAATTTGACGCAATCCGGAATTCTTTGTAAAAACACAAAAATCAATATGATCCAGAAAAATATTTATTTGAAAAAGTAACTTTATCAGGACCCAAATGGGCCTTGTATAATAGATTTTCTTTTTAACGGAAGGTTTCGGAGAACTTCAACAGTTTATATCAAAATCTGAATCTGCGTATTTGAATCCTCAAGGAAACAAAAAAAAATAAAAAAATAGGACATGTTCAAAAATTTATTCAATGCAATCAGTTTTTATTGGCTCCATACTCGGCTTCCCAATCATACGGATATTCCTGAAGATTTTTTGTCTTCATCAATGTTCGAAGGGTCGTGTAGAGTAGTCCGTAGTCGGGTGCCATGAAGTAGGTCAACGAATCGATGTGACTGAAAAAAGAAAAGCTGTAAATAAGAAAACGCTGTCAATCTTTCTACTTGAGAATGACACGATATTCTTCCATCGGACATTCAGCCAGCATTTGAGATAACCCAGGTTCGACTCGAGCATTCTTTTTGATGGCTCCGACTTCTTTGATGTCAGTCGCGATTTTCCACGGAAGAGCGGCATTTGTGAAGTCGACTAGCATGTAGAACCTGTACAGTTTGAAGAATAGTGATGCTTAAAATCTAATTGACATACCAACTCTCAACATCATCTTTTCTACCATGCTCCATGTAATTGTGTGAAGCGATTGGAGCGTAACGAGGAGTTCCTCTATACGGAGCTTTTCTACGTGGCTGAAGCATCACATTCTGATCATTTACATATCGACGACATAATCCGAAATCCAAAACAAAAATCTTTCTTAACTCTCCCACTTCAGGTCTTCCCAAGCAGAAGTTTCCTGGTTTGACATCCCGATGCAAAAATCCACACCAATGCAATTCTTCGAGTGCTTCAAGGCATTGAATCGATGCGCCAATGGCAGATCCTAAAGTCAAATGACTGTTTGGTCCAGTTTTCTTTGCATCTTGAAGTGATTTCCCGAGAAATTTCATGACGATGTAATTGAAATTATCATGCTTTCCCTTGTCTGAAAATTTATTTTTTTTCTTTCATAAATTGATTCCTAACCAATCAAGGTTGGCATGTGCTTTGCTCCTCGCTGAGTCAGCTTTTGCATCACATACAATTCCAATTTCAGAAGCTGAAAACTACTTGTTTCGAATAAAGAATTTAGGAACTCACCGGAATTTTTTCAGTTGCGAATTCAGCCTTCAGTGCGTGCTCGGCTCCACCATTGTCATCCCTTACAGCGTAAACTGCTCCGAATGTACCTTCTCCTAGTTTTTTGAACACCGTAAAACGATTCACTTTGTCGCCATTGTTTAGTTGTATTATCTGTGGTGCAGGCGCCATGTTTGAAGAGAGATAAAATTGGGAATAAATTTAAAGGGAAGGGTTAATATGTTCAACGCGAGGAAATAAACAAAATTGCTCCCATTTTTATTCTGTTCGAAAAACCTTTGCTGGAGATAAAAAAGATCTTAACTTTGAACTTGTTCACGGAATGTCGACGAACATAAACACCGGATCTTTCCTTGAATTAAACCCAACCAGTAATTTAGTTCACCGTAACCACTCCAATAGAACCCATCCAAATCGTTAACTTTGAGTTCATATATCTCATTTCTTGTGAAAGATATCAAAGTGGTCAATTGACAAACCATTTTTGATTTTATGATAAACATTTTGTTAGTTTACTATTTCTGGATATCGTTTACAGAAATAGCGATAAATGGGCCCAAAGTTGAAGGTTTGGGTGGGTTTAGAAAAAAACCGTCTAACCAAGTCCAAATTTTCCATAAAAAGAAGAAGAATGTGACAATATATATCTTTTCGTTTTGTAACAATAAAAAACCATCAGCAAGACCAGGAGCTTCGAGTGAGGGAAGAGATGCGAGACGTCCAGGACCACCATGACAACCAGGAAAGAACGGAACTCCAAGTTCGTGGATAGAATGCAGCTCCAGAACCTGATGCTCGGATGTTTGTAGAATGTTTCCTGGTCCAGTTCTTGGCTTTGAAGCTCAACGCGGAGTAGACTTCTGATACTTCCTGGTTGGGCCATTTCTCGATCGGGATGGCACCAATCCTCCCATATATTCTCATAAAACATAAATGCCCTTTAGAAACTTTTATTGCTAGTTACTTGTACTTAAAATAATATAATTCTGGCAGAAAAGAAGACACTAAAGCAAAATTCAATTACAAAAAAAATTCTAAGCATATAATTGAGAAGAAATAGGGCAAGTGTACATAAAACGAGGTCTTTTTTTGAAATTAGTCTGTCTATTCGTCACATAAATGTGTCGAAAACATCAAACTTCTTTTTGTGGTTTTTGTTGCAATTTTTACAATTTTTTTGCAGCTGGTCTTATTTTTTGGGGGGAATCGCAAGCGAAAAATCAAGACGAACGCCGGCGTTCTGGGTGGAAAATTTTTTGATGGAAATTAGAAATTGAAGGCCTAGAAAAAGGGAAAACCTATATTTAAAATGACTGAAATTGGCCATTCCTGCAGGGGGAAAGAGGTACGTGATCCAGCACATATTGAAGAAGGCAGATTGAATTTCGAATGAAATTCGATAGAAGATGGGACAAGGAAAAGGGTGAAAAAATGAATAGATAGAATTATACAAGGTACAGCACAATTTTTGGTGTCCAAAACTTATACAAGAAAAGGAACATTTTGTGTTTTAGGAAGTTTGGAGGATTTTTAGATGCAGTTGGTGAATACACTATTTACAAAAAACTCAGCTGCAAAACACATACAAACGCTAGACACAGAATTACAATTGAAATATGGGTAGGTGTGTGTAGAAAAAGTGGGTTAGTAGAGAATGCAGAAAAAATGGGAAAAATAGGAAAATGCAATATGAAATATGATTAAATGAGAAATTCAGATGTTGGAAAAAAGTGTACATCTTGATGGTATTTACACTTGAGAAGAAGCTTCGGACTCGTTGGCTTGCTTGAGTTGTTTAATAACCTTTGAAAGGTTTTTCTCAACGGATGCGTATCTGGTTTGGAAATCAGATCTGAAAATGTGAATTTTATATTCTGAAACTTTCTCAGAAAAACAAACCCTGGATGCTGAATTTCCGCCTCGATCACATTCCATTGTTTCATGAGTTGGATAAGTTGTGATTTGAGAGCCAATCCGTCCTGTTTCTTCTCGATATATACATGAGCGAGTCCGTTTTCGACGATGATCAACACCTGAAAAAGATCTTCATTTCTTTCAAGTAAAAGGTTTCTCAGAACTTACCGTTTTACGGATATCGCGGAGTTTTTCTACGCCAGCGTAGGTATTTTTGAGTTTGCGAACCGCTTTCTCAAACTCAGTTTTCTTGGAAACAGAGAATCGAAGTTTGCGTGCTTCTCCACACACATCAGAGAACTCTTTCTTGATGTTTTTCGAAGCGGCAATCGTCTCAACACACATAGCAGGCAAAACAGTCGATGTCTCCAGTCTTCTGACTGCTGCTCCAGTCTTCTCGTCACGAGACCAATAGGCAACTTCGAGCATCTCAAGAGTTTTTGGACAGAATACCCGTCCACATCCTCCACATTCAGCTCGAGAAGCTTCTTTACGAACTTTCATAACGTATCCACAAGCACACTTGATACGTTTTAGGAAATCGGTCTTTTCAAGAACATGAAGTTCGTACTCCTGTTCCCACTTCTCGATCCATGAGGCATAAGATGAGCAAGTCATTGGGAAATGTGGCTCACGTTCGCATTTTGCACACCAATGGATTCCGCAAGAATAGCAAGCTGAAGTCTTGAATTCGTTGATGTTGTGGTCGATGTGAACCAGTTGTTTGCACGATGGACACTCTCCAATGTCACCTCCATCGACATTAGCCAAAGTTTCAGTGGCTGCGATTTTGGTGTAAAAGTTGAGAAGTGGAAGTGGGATAATAGCTGGAAGGATGTCATAAGCAGATTGTCCCTCTCCGAGAACGAATGGAATTTCTAATGGAATGCATTTGGCACGGATCTGGTCGATGATGTGCTTGCAAAGACATTCACGGCATTGCCAGCTGTCATCCAACTCAAAGAGTTCCGAGTTTTTGGTGCAGTCGCAGGTGGCACATTTCAGCTTCTCAAGAGCTGGTTCCTTCTCCTCGTCAGCGTCTTCGAAATCAAAATCATCGGTCTCGAAGTCGATTCGTTCAAATTTCTCTTCCTGTTCTTCGGTGTTCATTGCCTCGTCACGAAGGATTGAAGCCATCTTCTCAGCACTCATCACTTGAGCTGGAGTAGCCAACATCATACTGTTAAATGCTGGTTGGAACAAATCGCGTTTCAGTTCAAAACGACTTTTCTGCGAACGATGAACATCGATGCATTCTGGAGCAACAATACTTCCTTCCTTCCATTCAGCAACCAATGTCGAGAGGATGTTCACAATATCCTGAAGACTGTTAGCATGCTTCAGAAGACCTCTAAGGATCTGCCATGAGAATGGTCCAGATGGAGCAATATCCGAGTTTAGAAGAACTTTGAGATGTTCCTTCCTGGCGAGCATGGCTCTCTCGATGACAATCATGAGAACCGATGCACCATGTGGCTGTGTCTCTCCGAGAACCAAATGAGAAGCATCAATTGAAAAACGAAGGTGATCAGCATCAAGCCACTGAACATAAACTTTGTTGTCACTCTTCATATCCTCAACTTGTTTCTCGATTTCTTTCCATTCAGAAACATCAAGAAGAGCCCATTCAAATGTGTGTGGAGCACGAAGAACTTGTGAGATATCGACCACATTCAATGGTCCAGTTGACTCGTCCTCGCTATCGTCGAAAGTGATGACTGCTGGATCAGACGGTTGCACACTCTCGATGCTCGATCGTCGAACAAAGACTGGTTTGGTGGTGCAGGATTCTGGAGTGATGTAGTCTCCCAGACAGAATCTGAAGTCGCGACTTGGTTTGTACATGTAGGCTTCCTCAATATGAACACTCTGATTCAACTCATCAACCGAAATGGACATCTCATCCCGATCGAGACGTTTCAGATTCTGGCGAGTCTTCACTGCTTTACGTGTGTTATAATTTCTGTTGAATAGCTTGCCAGCAAGCACTTTGTGATTCTTATGTGGCTTGTAGATGGTGTACTGAACCTTCGGCTCTCCGTTTTCATCCAACGAAGCTTCCGAACTGTCGGAAGTCGTCGACGCTTCCGATTCCTTTCGTGATTTCCTCGTCTTCTTGGTGTTATGGGTGGTGCCGGTGACAAGAAGTGTCTGTAGGTTGGCTCCTTTACCGCCAGCGGTCTCATGGCGCACAACCTCTCCGTTCTTGTCTATTTCTGTCAACGACACCACATTGTCGACTGTGTCTGAAAGAAAAGAGAAATATTGAACTCATTTAGATGAATGTCCGATTTTGATTCACGTGATGTGCATGTGTTAGGAGAAAGAATGAAAAGAACATGCACTCGATCTATGTGACCACTTTACATTTGTTATTATTTATCTTTCCGCTGGCGCATTGTAGAAATAAGTTTCTAGTTTGCACTCTAGGATTGAAACTGTATCTAGATCAATTAGAGATGTATTCTGAATATTCCCATATGATCAAGTACAACCATATTCACGTTCCAGTACTTCCAACAATGAAAAATCTCATGATTCAAATTGACTACCAGATCATTTGATCGTAAACTCCTGACACCACCAGTCACTTCCCAACTGAAGAGAAAGAGAACGAGCCAACACCAAAAGTTATTGCTTATCGGGAGGAGGGGGGACAAATGGAGGGAGAGGAAGTGTCATGTGTTTTCCGATCATCTATTCATTTTCGTGTACTTTGACATGCGATAGAATCTAGTCGTTTTTTTTTCTTTCTCTCAGCGAAAAAATCATAATGGCCAAGAAAATTGGACAGATGGCATGTGATGCCAATGGTGTGATTCTTATGACGAAATGCGGACATCAAACTTCAGCCTACAGTAACCTCAAGTTCTCACCTTTTGCGGTTAAGACACGTTCGACAATCTGAACAGGCAACGATTGTTTGCCATCACTACCCGTGGTCTCCCACGTTGCTTCAGCCTCCAACGCTTCCCAACGTTTGTTCTTATTCATTGAGTAGACGACGTTTGAGTTGATGCCGTCGTGGCTCTCCGAAGCAACACGCTCCTTGCGCTTCTTTCCGAGCACGTGGTTCGGATCGTCGATGGTCTTGACGAGAAATGCGCCAGCCTTAGCGGCCTGGCGAGCATGGCGGTCGGCCACCGCGCTACGTCTACCCTTCTCCTTCCTGCCCGTCAGTTTGCCACTCAATTCCGGGAAATCCGTTTCACTGAAAACATAATATCATTAGTTTTGGGTTTCAGAAACTTATTATGTGCTATTCATTTCCGTTAGTCTACCCTCTTCCCTACAAGTTAGATTCTCAACTCTACCTTATCTATCTCTTCCAGATGATGTCGAAAAGATCTTACCGATGTTGTCTACTAGTCGATGGCATCGGATCATTGGTGGCCAAAACTAGTGTAACTCTACTAAGAATCATTTGGCTCAAAAATATAGCGAATTTTTTTTAAGTCAACGCTGCCGTTTCTACTGGCTCTATTTATACATGAGACATGCATGTTTTTGGGTGCCACGTGACTACACATTTGGCGACCGCCTGTGGCACCGCGATCAACTGATGACATCATCACGAGGGAAAAGAAAACTGAAAGTTGTAGTGGGAAAACTGTGGGATGGAGAAAAAGAACACGTGCCTGATCGCTTTGTATCTCTGAGTTTCTCATTTCTAGGTTGAATCTAAGTCAGGGACAGGGTTGGGAACAAAAGCCGCCGACGGAACGGCGGCTGAAAAACAGCTGCCACGTTTCGGCGTGAAGCCGGCTTTCGGCTTCCACGGCTTTTTCGGCTTTTTTGTAACACGGTCAATACGTTTTAAATTAAATACGTTAAAATTTCAGATTTTTTTTCAATATTCTCAAAAAATAGTTTTTTAAAAATACTTTGAATTTGTATTCACACGCCGAAAGCCGGCTGTCGGCGGCGGCGCCGCGGATGCAGCTTCCACGTGGAAGCCAAAAAAAACAGGCATTTTTTCGGCTGCGTGAAACGCCGGCGTTTTTTGGCGAAATCCTGCTTTTTCACAGCTCTGGTCAGTGACAAACAACCGCACTGAACTCTGTTGATCAAGAAAACATTTCTGCGATCAGGAAAACGGGAAATTGGATTTTAATATTTTAACCTTATTAAGAAAATTCTAGTTAATCATTTAAAATAATGTTAGAGGTGTAGTCGATTTTGTTTTTTTGAGAGTTCAGTCAGTGTATACCATAATCACTCTAAAAGAGTGCCACATAAGCCGTCAACTTTGAGCCAGTTGATCTTTGACACGATAAGTATGATCTTGGTTTCTGTAAAAGATATCAAAAAGTGGTTAACTGAAAAAATGCTTTTGATATTATGATAAACATTTTGTCAGTTGATCACTTTGCGATATCTTTTACAGAAAGCGAGATATATGGGCTCAATTCGATGGTTTGGGTGACACTCTAGTATAGTGTTTACAGTAATTTATTTCTCCTCGTCCCAGTTTCACAAAGTATATAACCCTCTGTCCGGTGTTCCAATAACGACCTCATTTATTATTCTATAGAAACATTTGTTTTTTGCTGTAGGTTGTGGTCAAACATCTGCTCAAAGTACGCACCATCCTATCTGGTAACTGATAAGATAAGGAAAAGTAAAACTGTGTTCGAAAGGTGTTATCTAAAAATTTCATCAAAGAAGATATATGCGTGTCAGCGAAAGTTTCGTTGATGTCCACACAGTGCTGTCTTTGTCTCGAAATCTACAGTAACCCTAATAACGTCATGTTGAATTTGCCATCGAAAGATAGTTGATTCTCCTAATAGAATCAACGTCAGATTCAGAATCCAGTCCTTTCTACAGTCGGAAATGGAAATGGACAGTAGAATACAGCAACCATTTCTCTGCGAAAAGTGGTCACGAGTGACCACGAAGCATAAGCAGTTCACTGCGATTTCTCACATGCTAGATCCAGAATTCGTTGCTACAGTTACACTAGTTTTTTGATTCTCTACTTCATGAGGAATCAAACAAAATTTGAGATTTTCAGCATGTCGACTTTTCAACTTACTTGAGTTCAAATCCGACATTCTTGCTTGGGTGGACATGAAAGCAGGTTTCAGGAGAGGAGGAAGAGGGAGACTGCGCTGAGCCTGCAAAACAATTTATTTTAAAAATTCGATTGATGAAGGAACAAAAGCGCAAAATTTGGAGAAAGAGTAAAGCAAGGAGAGAGTAAACGGGCGGTGCACACCGAGCCATGATGAACGTCAACGACGGAAAGCGACAAACTGTCTAGGACTCCATCTCGTTCAGTCACAGTGTGTCTATTTTCGAGTACATGCCCCAGGACGACGATGAAACGAGAAGAACAGAGAAAGAGAGGAAGAGAGCAGAGAGGAGGAAGCGGGCAGCAGCCAGCAGCAGGGCCATCATCATGTGATGGAGAAGGAGGAGGTGGAAGATGGAAAAGAAAAGAAATCACAGATTTTTTTTTCAATTTGTTCATCTTATATGAAGATTTTCTATAACTTTTGTGCAGTGAATATTCGAACTCGAAATCGGACTGTAAAGAGTATCAACTAAATTTGAAAATTTAAAAGTTTTACTGTAACTCTAGAAAGTTATTCTGGATTCTATAGATTATTTAGAAACTTCCAAATTAAAAAAAAAAAAATATTCCACTCCAAATGTTCAAAAATAGGAATTGAACACAAATGAGCAATGGACCTGAGACGTTCAAATGCATGTCTCGTCCTCCTCATCGCGTGGTGTTTTAGGTGGCCAACGAAGAGTAAAAGTACCTCTCCCAACCCATATGCCACAGTGGTGGGTCGATGAAGTGTAAGGGAAACATTGGATATTTTGGGTAGGGTGTGAGAGAAATAAGAGAGGGAGAGGGTGGTGAAACACGACGATGTTGGCCACCAATTATAGTGGCAGATGTCGTCGGTCGGTGTGTAGTACATTGAACATAACCTATATGGAATCAGACAGTCAAATGTATGTTGCTGCTGGCCCTGGTGATGCTGCTGTTGGTGTGTCACGCGTCATTGATTTGTTAGCAGCCAGATTTGATTGTTTTGTTTGGTATATTTTGTATCTAGGTATCTAGGCCGATGCTGTTGTTTATTGGACACCTGGGGGTGTTGAACCAGATTCTGGCGGCAGACCAAAAAATCATAAAGTCCGAGTTGCAAAACCATTCTTTCGAAAGCGGCCATAAAACAGTCTTATCTACAGTAACTTTCCGACATGGGCACTCAACTTTTTTGCAATTGATAAGCACAGGTTTGTGATGTAACCAACTGGTCATTCGAAACGAGAGACTGGTCACCTTTATCATTGGTACAGTGTATACACCCATATAACAAGTTCTTCTCATTTTTAATTTTGTAAAATTTGAAAACTAAACCAAAGAAAATGATGAAGAAACGAAAATTTAACGACCGAGAATCGGATCGACTTCTTACTTCGTTCTTGATTTTTTTTTCTTTTTTTTTCTGTTGTCCGTCAGCTGATTCTGATTGTTCAAGACGAAAACGAAACGAAAAAAAGAAAACGAGGTGGAAAGTAGAAGAGGCATTGAGGCGTGCCAGCAGGAGGCGGCAAAAAATGGATGTTTCTTTTCTTTTTCTGTCGCTTCTTCTTCTTCTTCAAGCAGTAGAAACGAAGTAGTAGTAGAAGAAGAAGAAGCAAAACAACAAATGTTACTTTTTCACTGGAAGCACAACAAGTTTTCATAGGGAGTTTTGTTGTGTGAATTCATCATAAAAAAGAATGAAGGAAGGAATGAGTAAATACTCCGTTTCACATACATCGGGAGTTCCAAATAGTCTTCAAGTGCAAACAGTATAAGGTTAGCATAAGGTTAGTACATTTTTTCTGGAAAGAAAGCCAGTTCTTTTTCGAATCATATTCGGGGGGTTGGTGCGAGCGAGTGCATGCTAGAAATGAAAGAAAAGAAACGGAAAAGGGGCGAGAATTGTAATGTGACACCAGCTGAGAGCTTGTACCTTTTGGTGAGATTGACGTCTGGGAGGTATGTAAATAAATATAAAACAAGGAAATATCAGTTTTGAATTTCAAAATTTCCATTCTCGACCAAGTGACCAAAGATTGCTCAATCCAAATAGATATTTCCACATTGGAAACCGAAACCTCTGGACTCAGGTGAATTCACAGGAATTCATAGTTTTCCGAAAAACTACTAAACGACAGCTGAAAAGGCTTAAACTGGGGAATAATTGCTAGTAAGCAGCTGGAGGGGTACCGACGGGCCGTTGACGGACCGTCGACGGACCATCGGAACCCCTTGGAACACCGACTTGAAAGTATTGGGAAATTTCGTGATCAATTTTAATGAAAAACCTTTAAAGGTTTTTTCCCAAAAATTGTGAGATCTTTAGAGAATTCCAGTTTCTAGACCACCCATATAATGGTTTCACATATTTTGCAGCTAGATCAGCAGCAATGAAATCGAAGAGGGAGAAATTGGGAATGAGCGAACGCCCGGTGAAAAGTCGTAGAGGCAAGTAGAGTAAACAAAAACAAGTAAATATTGCTTGGCGGGTCGATTTGCGCAGAGCAGAAAGCAGTAGGAGCTGTTGATGGAAGGAGGAAAGGGGGACCCAACTCTCGTATTATCTATACGATGATGACGTGAGAATTCGGCGAGGAGATGAAGAAGTTGAAGCATTGGTTTGGGAGAAGCAGTGCACGGCCTTCAGATATTTTTATTTTTTAGGGAGGGATGAATTTAGTTTTCGCATGGAAAAAAGAAAGAGAAGTATTCCCAAGGGGAGGCTAAAGAAGATCATCACTCTTTGACTCGGAGAGGAAATTCAACATTTTTCAATCAGATAAATTCGTTTCCTCTTTTCTCCTCTTTACTCATTATGCAGAAAAGAAGGAAAGGGAGGATACTAAAACAGATTTTCACATTTCGAAGGGAGCATTATTTTCTTCGGAGCAATCTCTGGAGCAGAAGAGAGAGGGAGGAGGATTCTAAACAACTTCTTCTTCTTCTTTGTTGTTTGGTGGTGTTGAAAGTGGCAAAAGATCATCCTAATAAAGAGAGAAACATAGAAAAAGAGCTCATTGTCTATTCTTCTTCTTCTTCTCCTTTTTCCTCTTCTCCGACGGTGAGAAAAGGTTTTCTAACGCCGACCAGATGTGCGTGCGCACTTGACAAAAAGTGGCATTAAAAGATCAAAGAGCATGGGGGATGCCTTTTGAAAAATCTCAAATTATTTCCAGATGTTTTTTGGTTTCATTCTTTAGACTTTTTGCACGAGAAGAATCATAATTTCATCTTTTGCTCAGTTGCAATGGAATATCAAAATTTTGGACTCGCGGGCTCCGGGCGGTAACGCGAAAAGGGAAACAATATATAGACACTCACACGCAAACACACGAAACACCATACACACAATGCATAAATACGAGTCCCGGGTGTGGAGAAGGAGAGCCCCAAAGAGTTTGTGGAAGAAGAAGAAGAAGGAGATGGAGAAGACACGACGAAATATATACTTTTCAAATATATACGCAAACTTCTTTCCAAAAGTCGATGTGTTTCAAAGATCATCAGCTGATAGAATCATATTTAATTTCTTGAGAAATGTCTTTTCAATTAGAGAGTCATTCAAGGTTTGGAGAAGATTGAATTTCGTGAAGCAAGAATAACAATTCTAATCGGATTACTAATGCTCTATGTCTGTCAAGAGTTTGGGATCTGGATTCACGAGGAAGTTGAAATATTAATGGGGTTGTTTTTTTTGAAGACTTCATCTTCTTCCGTTCAAAAAAATACGTGCCTGATTTGAAATATTTATGAAGAGTTCTCAAAAATAGGGTCCTTGATGCTCCAGATCCAATCTTTAAAATTCTTCTAATAATTTCCTTTCATCTCTCGAATACTCGCACCTCATCATTCATTTAATCGGCCCCACTAGAACATCTCTTGAGATTACAAACAGCTGCGCGAGTGTTGCGTATCCCCCCAAATATAATTATATACGCCAAAACCCCCCGAATTACCGTATCCCACCCTTGAAAACGCAACAAGTGACGCAAAGTTGGTACAGACGGTATAAAGGACGACCCCAATCTCCCGTCGGGGTTCTGACAAAGAACACACGCACAGATGGTGGAAAGGGATGAAGAGATCAAACAAAAAGAGAAAGAAAGCAAATAGGTAATAACTGTTATTGGTAACCATATGCAAGCAAGAAAAAAAAGAGGGATAAGAAGATGAAGGATGAGGATTTGCGTCACGAAGAGAGAAATTCAACCTGTTCGCCCGCCCTTTTGCCTTTTTTTTCGAAATTTTGTTGTGGTCTCTTGACTCGTGTTGTTGTTGATTGAAAACTTGTTTGGTAGTTCAGATCAACTTTCCACCTTACCAAAGATTCACATTATGAAGAAATCGAATTCGTGGAAAATGAGAGAGAGAGAGAGAGAGAGAGAGAGAGAGAGAGAGAGAACAGTTGGTAAAGATTGGCCAATGCTGAATTGTCGTTTCTTGAAAACTGAAGTGGTGGAGACACGAAAATTAGGGAACAAAGTTGGTTGGCACATAAACTACTCTTGGTCTCTTGGCGAGATTATATAGTCGTTCAGAAAACTGATTAGTATAGTAGTAGTCGTGGCAGGTTCTCATTAAAAATATATTGTTGCTATACGAGCTAGCCGAAAGCTCTGTTTATCAAAATAGGGTTTCGTATCAAATCACAAAAAATTGCAAAAAAAAATTGCTCCTGAACTGATCTGGATTTTACAGCAACCCCTAATATCCAAAGGAAGCCGAAAATTTTTTCAAAGACCTATGCGGGTGACACCTGAAACTTTTGATCTTGTCGACTTTCAAAAGTTAAAAGGGACTCGCTAGACAACTTTACGACAGGAATTTTGAATTTTAAAGTCTACGGCGCATTTAGTTGTATGCCTTCACACAGACAAAAAGAAAATCGCGAAAAGGGAAAAGCATAAAAAGAGAGAAAGTAAACGGGGAAATGTTATAGAAAAGAAAACTCATTATTTACTAGCATGAATCAATAACAAAATATGGAATGGGATGTGACTAAATACTTGATCAAGGCTCGGAAGTTTTGGAATCGAAACGTTAATTTGGGTTTTTTCTGTGAAAGCTTCGCTTTTTATGGGAAGGAACTGTAATTAAGAATAATGCAATGCAGTTTCTAGTAGTTGGATCAAGAAAACTAAAAGATCGAGAAGCGTTGAAATGGAAGAAAATAGAAGATGGGGTGTTGGAAGTGGATGGTGGTAAGGGCGAAGAAGATGAAAAAGGAGAGGCCTCCCGCAGACCGGAGAAAAGAGAATAGAGGACTAGCTGCTGGCAGTTATTGAAAATCGAAGTTGAGAAGGAGGAGGCGAAACGAATGAAACGAGAAAATGAGGGGAGAAGTAGTATTTTCTTCAAAATGGGAAAGAATAATATGAATATGTACAATTTTTATGGTTGAACATGGAATGGAGAGGAGAATCGTGCACAATCGGTTTCATCATAAACAAAGCATTATGCATATTCAAACGTCTCCACAATTTGAGAAAAACGAAATAGCTTCTTTCTGTTTCGCTATGTGGGTTGTCTTTCGACGACATATATTCAAAAATATATCGATTTTTGAAAATTTTAAAAATTCATTTAAAGACAATTGAAAAATCAATTTGTTCTGTAGTACACGGATCGGTTATTCGAAACTCCAACTTTGCCATCGAACACGCTTTGCATTGCAATCCGCATCTCATTCATATTCGCACGGTCTTCGGGAGCTTGCGGCCAACACATGTTCAGCATAATGTTACGAAGAAATGTCGGCATTCGATCAGGAGCATACATTTGGTATTGCGTGTTCACTTTTTGTCTCACTTCTGCAAATTTCAATCCGGGGTAAGGAATCGCACCGTCAATGAAAATCTGAAATTTCAAAAACAGTTTTTCTCTATTGGAACCACTAACGATACCTCCCAGAGA